ACCTAGTGGGGCTGGCTAGGGATTAAGACAGCATCAATAAGGCTGCACACCAATCCACAGTCGTGAAACCCTATTTCGCCAAAATAGGATTGTTTCTTGGGGCTTGCCTATTTGAGCTGCTCAGCACAGGTTCCTTACCCAGTAGGCCTGGCTAGGGCCTGAGACGTCAAGAAGGCTGCTTGGCTTGGTGGAGTCCTGGTGCTGGACTTACCTCGCATAATTTTGTTTTGAAATTATTCTACCTCGTACCTCGCGAAGTGAGCTCGCAATAATTCGCTCAGATTGTATATCCTGGCATATCTCCGGCATTCTGATGGCTTTTGGGCGAACTTTCCAAGTCTCTCGGAAGGTTCTCAGTCGAATGTGACACCAAACCGTGGCCACAAGCGCTTGTGGCGCATTGCCAGGTGCCCGCGCGCTTTCGCATGAACTCACTGCCTGTCTTGCTGGGGTGCCTCAGATGGATAAACATGACTGAGTCACTCGCCGTTTGCACGGATTCCAAGGAATCCGATGCGACAAGAGGAAGACTGAAGTTGCCAGTGGAGCAAGTCACATATATCTGTCAGTTTCCCTGGATCAATCAAGATTCAAGATATATCAAGACTAATGATGAACCATTTCCACCTGTTCTTGTTTAGTTGGGTAACCAGTCCTAAACAAAGTTCAAAGGTTGGGCAGAATATCCACTCTTCCGGGGTAGATAGATTTGTCATGCTATCCTCACTCCTGGCATGCTATGGCGCCTCGCCCGGGCGAAACGAAATGCACCTATCGCGCCGGGCTCCACATGTGGCGCCTCTCGCGTTCCCCAGACCGAAGCAGCGGTGCTGAGCGCTGAGTACCATGGCACTTTTGTTTTGGGCTTCCCATGTCCAGCATGACCGGTCTCGACAACCCGCGACCGGGTCACCCCGCGACCGGGTCTCGAAGATGCCATTTGGCTTGTCTACTTTTTCATGCTCATCTGTCTCATCCCCTTGAGAACCAAGAACAAATCGGCAGTTCTAGGATTCAAAAAGAACCCTCACTTGAAAACAAGATGAAGCACGTGATGGTCTGAAAAGAAGTTCATATGGTGCACACCCAAGGTTTTGCACCACCGGACTCATCCCTCAAACGGTCTGAGTTAAGAGACTCTTGGATGATCTTGGCCAAGGCTTTCTGAAATTCCGGCCTCGAGCGACTTGAGCGGAACGCACGTCGCCTCCGCCCGTGTCGCCTTGCACGGTGTCTATCTTGGTTTTCCGGCCAACAGTGTCCAAGCTGAGGTCCTGTGAGCCATACTCTTCGACATCTATCTTTTCCACTTCAACAACCCAGAACGTCTTTCTGTGACGTTTTGAACTCAAAGAAGCCACCTTCCACCTTCCAACGTTTCGTATTTTTTTTGGGACCATCACCAAAACGCCCGCGGACCGCAACAGCTTCATCCCCCCATGAAAAGAAGTCTTCCAGAGGATTGGTATCCTGCCAAGAACCCCTCCGACCACCTGGGGAACCTAAGCAACCTCTCATCAATCCATATCGAGCTCTAACGATGATATGGTCCGTGGTCCGTGGCACTTCGCCCACCCTCCGGAAGGGAACGAGGGGTCCTCTTGCCTAAACAAAGGAACGCTCTCCAGACCGGAGTCCGAAGTGAGTGGCCATTCTTTGGCCCAGCAAAGGAACCTCCGTCTCCGTCGAAACTCCACCGGAACGCTGGGCAAACCACACTTTCCGAAACCCTCCATGAGCTCCTCTTGCAGGGACAGGGCGCAGGAAAACCTGCCGACTGGAAGGCTATGGAAGGCTATAGAAGGCTTCAGGATTGCAGTTGAGCATGGCCCACAAAGGCTGCAAGCAAGAAGGTCAAACCGTCACGTGTGATGGCACGTGCACAACCCTCTCTGAACCAAAAGGATCCAAAAGGCTGACCTGTCGTCAAGTGAATGCTTTGACTCACCACAGGTCACTTGGAGAAATCAGTGGCGCATGCCGATTTCAGCCTTCCGGGAGGGAGGGAGGAACATCACCTTCGACAACTAGACATCATCACTAGCAGCCACTAGCATGGCTGCCACCCTCTAAAAATCACATCCGAAGCTGTGCTAATCCTCTAATTACCCCTCGGAAGACTCCAAACATCTGAGCCGAACAAATTTGAGAAGTGAAGCGAACACCCGCAACCTCTGATTTTTTCTTTATTATAGTATATATAGATGGATATATAATCCAGTCAAACATCACTAGTGAGACCTGTTCAAAGTCTATCCGAGACTACGCCCCCTGATTGGCTGGCAAATGACAAGCAACAGTGACCTGCTGATTTGCAAGAAACAAACACATCTCTGACGTCCAAAACACCTTCCTACACTGCGGATGTTTGCTTTCTCACCACGACCTTTGTCTGGTGCGACCCAGACATGGCTGACCAGTGGACTCAACCTCATCTGGTGACCTTTCGCTCGTGTGACCAGAGAGGCTCCCCTGAGCAGCGGACGTGAGCATCTCTTCTGGAGACATGGGCGACGGCTTCACAATCTCCTGACCGGGAAGCAGCGCTGACCTGCTTCATGCTGACCTGTTGGGTGATGGGGGGAGGGGCTCCATCAGAAGAAGCCAATCAAAGGACATGGTGAAGACATGAGGTTTTGTCAAAAGGAGGATTGTGGCCGGGAGTTCACTACAACACATTCAGGTGTGCAATGGAAGGGTTGAGAAGCTTCATGACCAACCCGAAATGTCTCGAAAACTACGTCCTCAAGCATAGGAATCGCTTGAAACAACTTGTGTCCCTGACTATTGCACCGGCTTAATACACAAGTTCAGTTTGTTGAAGACCTGACAGTCATGTGGTCCCAATTTGTATGAATCGACTGTCCTGAAAGTACCTGGACATTTGCTTCACGGAAAGACCTGCTTGTAGCCAATCAACATGTTGTCAGTTAGGTCAGCCCAGGTCCGACCCACTGAACACCGAACACGCAGGCCCTCGCCATTCCCTGATGATCTAAGATTCCAAGCTAGGCTCTCGGCATTCTCAACCATCAAAGGCCCTCTACCCTCCTCTACTACCTACAACATCAGCTCCAAACATGTGGAACAACGTCTTAGTTGCGCATTGACCAACGTATCACTGCACAACTGCGACGTGTGCGACCAACCTCTCTTCGATTCATTGCTCAATCCCGCCAAGCCCAGCTGGTACCAGAGCACAACAAACAAATAGTAACCAAGCCGACTGGCGGCCAGTTTTTGCCAAGTCAACTCGGCCTTGCCAGAGACAGTCAAGCCTCAAGGGAGGATGTCTTGCTTGCAACAGTCCGACACTGTTGAATGAGAATGTCTCAAGGGAGTGGAGGCTTTCTAAATCGCTTTGCTTGTGACTTTCACATTCAGCCTGAAGCTAGAAATCAAAGAGGTGTTTCTTTTTCCATTACGTCGTTTTTGGCATCATTTTATGATAACCTTTATGGTTCTGGAAAAGCGGAGGTAATCAGGCCTATGCCATGGAGCCAAACCCAAATCCCATGTTGATATCATCCTGCAGCACCCAGCTGACGCAGCTGAGGCCCCAGCTGACCCAGCCTGGTGGGAATGGAAGGCCGTCAGTAGGGGAACATCAGTTAGACTCCCAACAAGCAAGCCCAAACCAAAGAAATGTCTACAGTACCTCGTGTGTGTCCCATGACCTGTAATAGTCGATCGACGGTAACCATCGGTCGGTTTTTGGAGAAAAGGCCTTGATGATCAAACCATCAGCATCCACCGATACACAGGCCATGGGATGATACACCGACACACCCAATGTCTACCCATGCGACAAAGCACGCGCGACGCCCGCTACACGCGGTGCGGGAACAATCGAAACGGAGCGATGCACGCGTGCGTTTGCGTGGAGAAGCACCGGCGTTTCTGCACTCCGGAGACCAGAACCAACAGCCAGACTTGCACCAACATTCTCGAGTGCCCTTGTGATGGTCATCCATGCTGATTGATTGGGGCCCACCCTGATTGCTCTCACTGTTTAGCTCAACAAAACCATTTAGTTGTCTTGTACTGGGGGGATCCTTTCTTCATCGATGTGACCCACAAAAAAGCACGTACAAGTCCCGCTTTTCGGACAACGTATGGATGTCTTTCAGCAAGGGGATTACTACTAGTTAGTAGTAGCAAGAAACTACTAGTAGCTATTTGATGCTATTTGCTACTAGTAGTAATGCCAGGAGCTACTACTAGTAGTAGTTTCTTGTTACTAGTATTAAGGTGCCTTGTTGCTAGTAACAAGAAGTTTTTTCTTCCTCCGTGGCCCACTGCGGCACCATCCGGTCCGCCTATCTCAGGGCCGGTCCCTGTAAGCCTTGGCACAGATCTGTTTGTGGAATAAAGCCAATTGGAACCTGGAACTATGAGCAGCAACCGCACATACCGTGGTTTTTGCCTGGGCTCCCAGGTGTTAGCTTACCTTGTCTTTCTTGCTTAAAGAGCAGCCGGGCTGCTGCTGTGACAAGTTTTTGCTTTCAATCTTTCGTGGGGAAATGTTACATTTACATGCCAAAGCCTCTTCGGGCTGGGCGGTTGCTCTGGCATGGCTCCTTCATGTTACAATCCTTTGAAACCATCTCATAGCTGGGGTCTTGACCATTCACGGGTTTCAGGCACGCCACTCATATCCAAAGAGCTATGCTCGCGTCAAGTGAAAGCTCAGCTGGAGACCTCTTGTAATTCAAACGTTCGCCGCGCAAATCCAGCTCTTCCACGAAGGCACCTTGGTTGAAGCCAACGCAAATACAGCTGCTGTGCAGCTGTGGTCAAACCCATGTGCGATGGCGGGAGCACCTGCGGTTTTTTGAGGGTTTGTGCTGCTGGCTTTAGAGAATCTTCGTACTATATATATATATATAGTTACGCTACTAGTTGCACGGATCATGAGCGGGTGTATACATACACACAAACTTTGACAATGACACTGGCATTTGATTGAACCAACGGCAAAATACCAAAACCACCACAAGGATCCGACAAGTCAAGTGTCCTACTTATCTCTTCGACCAGGTCATTTTGTAATGATTAATCACCTCCAAGTGACTGATATCCTTCAGCTCTAGTTTCCAGTTCATTATGAGATATTCTGTGTGGCTTCCACAAGGTATCCTCCGTATCCTCTAACAATTTGTAGGGATCCCAAAAGCAGCAGTGACCGTATGAATCCACTCCTCCATTCTGCTGGCCCTCGTGGATTCATCCGATGTCCACTCCTTCCGTCGGAGTGGCCCGTGGACAAGCGTTCGGCCAGTTGTTTCGAGGTGGTCGACTGGCCCTCGCGGACCAGGATGCCTCGCAGGCCGGTGCCGATCCGACTGGCACCCCTTCCACAGCACCAATTGTGGGGAGAGCCGAGTCCGTAGTCCATAGCATGTTCATAGCGATGTCTTCCTTCTGGTCATGAAAAAACAAGTTCAAAATGGTTCAAACAAACTTTGGGACTGTGTGCCACCACAAGAAGATCTGTCAGTTCTATGGCAGGGTTGCAAAGTATCGCCAGTATCGCTTCATCGCAGTTCTCTTCATCTGAAAAGAAACTGGAAGATTATATCGGAAAGACCACGCAACAAAAACCACCCAGTGAGGCCTTTGTTAGTGGCACTCCACTGCTTCGTAAAAGTGAGTCCGTTGACGCGGTCTCATCGCCCCCGCCTCCCTTGTCGGCGCCGCCGATGACTTCCCAGCGCTTCACCGGCGACATGGGGCCCTGGCGCGGTCCGGGAGGGACGAAAAGGCGTCCGATGTCCGGAAGGCCCATCCAAACCAGCAGCAAAACCGGATGTGTGTGAAAGAACCTTGGAGAAAGCAAAGAACCTGCAGAAAAGACCTTGTAATTACGTTCAAGAAAGCAAAACGAAAGCTTCCCTCACCCACTTCCCGAACGTTCGGACACGTGTGTCTTGATCGCTTCATCTGGTCTCCGCCATTTTTGGCAAGCTTTGGTCGCCACAGTGAGCTGGAATGCGTTTGAGATGCTAACAAGTCTGGATGACAAAGGGGCATCGCTACTAGGAGCAAGGACGCTACTAGTAGCTCCTGGCCTTACTACTAGTAACAAGAAGCTACTAGGAGCAAGGGCATCGCTACTAGGAGCAAGGACGCTCATAACCATGAACTTTACCAGCAGATCTGAAAGGACTTCTTTATGGGTGATTCGTGATGCAACTCCAACAAGAAACACCCAACCCATAGATGGTGTTCATACCTCCAAACCCTCCCAGACCTTCCAAACGATCTTCAAAACCTTCCACATGTTCTCTAAAGTATATATTATATAAGATTATAAGTATATAATAATATGATTTTAAATCAAGTCCCTCAAACCTTGCAAAGGAACAGATTCACCCACAATCTTTCAACCGGTCACCCTCCACCCGTTTCAGTGGGCATCTACATCCAACCACCTCAATCACCCCATGGTGCCTTCTCAGTGGCATGCGGGGGTCGCTTGGCCGGCTGAGCACGAATGGCCTTCACAAGTTCTCAGCAGTGTTGGGTGTCCATTGCAGCAGTTCTGGTATTATGGCTGCAAGCAAACACTATCTCTCTCTCTCTCTATATATAGGATTATTGGATCAAATTGGGATGCATTCCTCGGTAAAGGGGGCCGAGCTGGGGATGACAGTGGACTACCAAACATACTGGTAGGTTTCCAGGACTTACATCCACATCGTCTAAGACTGGCATCGACATTTGCACCAAACCAAGAAGACCAGAAGCGACCGCCGCAGCGAGTAAACTCGTACTCCTGCGACCTGGTCATCCTCATGTCAGAGCGAAGACTCTCACCGTGCCTCCACAGCCACCTGGCACACGTGTGAGACTGGTGCACCACTGCCAAGGCACACGGAAAACAAATGGGTACGGGGTAGGTGACATGGGTTTGGGAGGTGAAAAAAGAAAGCGCCTCCGAGGAAAGTACTTCCCTTGGCACCCCCACTGTGTGAAGGAACAGACAAAGAACTTCATCAGGAACTTGGGTGAAAGCCGTGGCAACGAAGAATCACTGATGGCACTGTGACGACCGCCTTTCAATGGCGGATAGTCTAAAACATTCTGCGCTCGAGCTTCGACAAACAACTGATTTTGTTGGTTCACAGAGTTGATAAAAGGAGTGTTGTGGGTCTTACTCCAGCACAGGTCAAGCGAAGTATCCGTCCAGTGTTTCCTGGGACGACCAGGTCTGCGAAACAGCCGAACCATATTCTCTGCGGAACGCAACCTGTTTCATCGGGTCAGCGTTTTAGGTCCTCAATACTCTTTTGGTGCACATCTCGCAACCGACCAAGTGAGGTGAGATTCGATAGTTTCGTCCTGCAGCGACAGCAGCGTTGGTTCTGCATTTCTTCTGTCAATGTAAGAAGTGGTAGACAAATTCAAGATCTTGCGGAGGCTACGCAGCTGCGTTAGTGAGCTCTACCTAAGTCACACCCTCTACAGTGCGTTAGTGAGCTGCTCGAGTTTAGACAGCGCCTAGTTCCACCCTCGCACAGATCTCAACCTTCCTGGTGATGATCCCTCCTAAGTAGGGACCGGGGTGCAAACCCTGAAACGAACAGCATGTCGTCTGTGAGTGGTAATTGCCACACACTTGAACCGGTTGAGCCCTAGACCGTAGTACTCTCTCTCTCTCTCTGATTACTCTTCCACATTCCATGACAGAGATGTGATCAAGCTTTCCGTGGCTTAGCACTCTGTGACGTTCTTGATCAGGACTCGAAACGACTCGAAACTGCGCCATCGTTTTACACATCCGTCGTGAAAAGCCAAGTCAAAGCCCAGTCTTCTTCACCGGCACAAAGCTTTTTCATGGTGATCTTCCCAGTTCCAAAGCGCAAAGCCCGACTTCTCCGCTTCTGGTTGCCTCAACGCTGGAGGTCTTGGGCTTCATTGGAGCCTCAAGAAGCCCGTGGATGTGGCCGCCACGACTGGTGGGAGGCGGAGAAGTGAAAGAATGTACCGTAATTACATGAATTCTATACAGATCTCGGAACAACAAAAGACACTTCAACCAGATTCTCTGCATGGTTTCTTACAGACAAAAACTCGTTCTTTTTGGACCCACACCGGCACCTGATGATTCAGCTTCATGTGGCGTTGTGGGTTGAGTGGCTGGCAATCCCATTTGCCCAGCAATGTGCCAATACGGAACTCCAAAATCCAAGTGCCAAACAAGTCCACTGCAAAAAGCTTCATGTGTCCTTGAATTTCCTTTGTTTGCAAAAAAAAGACACATCATGCATCTAGACTCGACCTGGTACAAATCCGGACGAAAGGGATCGAACCTGGACCTCCGTCCAGATCCGAACGCTGCGGTCGAACTCGGACGAACTCGAAGCGGGCTCGGACGGCTCTCCTTCATGAGGGACTTGTCCCGGAAGGGAGGCTCCTGGCGCCGCGGGATGGTCGGTGCGTCGCGGTGCGGTCGATGCGCTTGGACCGAACAAGGATGACGGAGGTACTCCTCGTTACAAGACATCTCAGTCTGGGTGAGGGAGTTGGTTGCTCGGTTTTAAAAACAGAAAAAATTGGTTGGTTGAAGATGACTTTCTATATTCAACTCAATTCAGGAGCATAGTTCCTTCGAGCCAACAGCATCATGTCCACTTCCCGCAGATGGCTCTCATGGCAGAATGGCAACAGCTTCAACTCTGGCTTGAAAGCAATAGTGTAACGCAACACAGTCCTAACACACGTGCATGGTCAGAAAGGGTAACTTGTCCTTGATAATCTCTCTTGGAGCCAACACCCCATCAGCATCCTTCTCTAGACGTCTCCTGTTTTGGTGCCCCGGGTCTCCTGCCAGCAGCCCCTAGTAGCGTCCTTGTTCCTAGTAGTAAGGCCAGGAGCCCCCAGTAGCGTCCTTGTTCCTAGTAGTAAGGCCAGGAGCCCCTAGTGGCGTCCTTGCTCCTAGTAGTAAGGCCAGGAGCCCCTAGTAGCGCCCTTGCTCCACCTCAAAACACCCCCTGCTTCGGGCACGAGATGAAACTGCTCCTGCTGTGGAAGCTGCAGAGCTGCCCAATGAGGTTCATCGGCTTTGTCTCGGCGCGCCTGGCGAAAGGGGTAACGCTAGCGGTTCGCGCAGCCGGAAAGGGTCCAGTTCGGATCCTGGCATCTTCTCCAGATGGACGGATATGTTTTAGATTGCTTTAAGATGTTTTCGAGACGACAGGAAATTCAACCCACAAACATGTGGCATCATGCGGCCGGCCCAAAGCGTCGATTGCACCCCACATGGCAGCGACTTGGACGGTCTTTGGGGTACCATGTCTTGACCGTGTCATTCTCAACAAAGACAGCTTAACCAGCTTCTTCAAAGTGACCTTTACGGATAAGTGATCTGAAACCAGGGGATCAAATGGTCATTTTGAAGAACAAGTGATATAACAAGTTATTAACGGCACGTAAGTTACCAAAGAAAGGCTATTTTAAGGATATACTTACATATCAAAGGAACCCTTTCCACGCCATGTCCATGTCTTGACCTTTGTTCGCCCGCCGGATCTCTCCATTCGTCGCTTTTCCATCCAAATCCCAACTGCTTCTTTCACAGGCATAGAGTCACATATGTCCCCAAACTCGCAGCGGGTGCCCCACTGGCAAGGTCGCAACTGAAAAAAGGAAACATCTCAACATGTGCTTAACACATCTCAAAAACCGAAAAAAGACAATCAAAAAACAGCAACATCCGTCTCCATCCGTCATAGTGAGCCTTCCTCTCACCTTCCACAGGGCCCAAAAACTCGAAGTCCAGGTCACAATCCTCCGAGACGTGGGCGGAGACGAAGTCCCCCAGGGTTTTTCTAAGGGGTGACGAAGTCTGACACAGAGTCCGCACTCTGAGTCCCAATAACTGATACTTCATCCAACATCTATGAGCCATTGCAGCCATGATTCAGTCCATGATCATCTGTATACATGTGATATTCTATACAGTATATAGATCATCCTGCGCACTGTTGTAGCACTGTTGTGTAGTCTCTTTCAAGCGATGCAACAGTTGTCCAGCCACTAAAAGCACTCCACTATATACTAATGTACAGTGCAGCTGCCGATGATACTCCAAAGTATATATAGATCCTTTTTCTGAGACCTCTTCCATCCACTTCCCGCCCCTCCGTGTTCCTCCTACATCCGAAGATCAGCCAATGGAGGTCCCCATTTGGTCAAAAGCCTCAGACCTTCTCCAATCTCCGGCTCCTCAACCCAAATACCTTCTGAGGTACTTGGAACCCTAGGAATACAGTCGCCCACAGAATTGTAGAACGCAATGGAGGAGGAAAAGTATCCGGGGATTCAACTGCACAGGGTTTTCTATAATTAACGATGACGATTCCTGCATGTCATGCAGGTTCATGTTGCTCAAATAGGCCTCACATTTGAGGGTTGCAGTTGTTTTCTGGTCTGTTCTAAAATTAACGGTTCCTTCATTCACACATAGTAGCCACATGGCCCGTTCTATGATTATTTTCTGAGCCCACCGCCTTTGACCTCGGGAAAGCACACTCTCAGGAAAGGGACAAGGCCTTCAAATGAGGATAAATCACATCAAAAGCTCTGTGTTCAAAAGGAAAGCCTCCAGAACAGAGGACATTTGTGCGCGCTATATAAAATTCTGCAACATGATCCTCCAAGCGCGAATTCGCTAACTGCACCAAATACTTTTCAATTCCGCTCTATAATTCTGTTTTGACGACCAACAAATACATGTGGATCTGGGTCAAAACCTCCTTCCCCACCGGACCTCGGCGGTGTCCTGGGTGATCTTCTCGAAGTCCGGCACCCGACGACCCAACAGCCTGGCCCCCGGCACGACCGGTGACGCCGACGCCCTCCGCGGCTCCGTGCGGCGCGTGGAGACGCGGTCGGAAAGGGCCTGAGCTCGAAGCTGTCAATGTCCTCGCAGTCTGGCGCGGATGAAGGGCCAAAGATGTCCATTTCGACCAGGGGCGAAAACACTCAACGAAAATCAATGGACCCGGGTCGAATGGCAACCTGGAAGACGTTTTTTTGCTAGAAACCAGTTTTCAGGCGGGGTAAGGTCTGTCTCCGGGAAAAAAAGGGTCCTCCGTTCGGCCAAGATCGGCCACGAATTGTATCTTGTGTCTTTGGGTCAAGTGCGTTCTCGATTTTTTCCACCATGCCCTGCGTTGACGCACAAATTGTTTGATCCGCTTTGGACGTCGATCTCTGGTCAAATTCTTTGGACGTCGATTGCACCAGACGAAACATCGAAAGTGTCACCCACATCACCTGTCAGGTGCCATTCCTCTTGAGCGCTCCTCATCCGTGCCCGGCGGGTTCAGCATGGTGGCCTGTGCCCGGCGGGTTCCGATCGCTTCGGGTCGTGTTCCGTCAAGGCTCAAAGGATCCACTGCTCGCTCAACCGGTCCTGCAATCGGTTGGGTGATTTGTTTGGCACTCTTTGGGTTGTTTCATTGCTATCAACCACTTTGGACCTAATGATAGGAAACAGGAACAGGAATGTCATTATTGTTTGAAACTTTGGACCTCATGTTATGCAACAACATGGACATGATTTTGATTAAACCGAGGAACGATCTAGGAAGTCAGGGCGACCGAACCCAAACCTGTCTGAGCGGCCAAAATATCGACCGGGCATGGGGAATCCTAGAACTTTTTGGGAAGGGAGGCCTTCCAAGAAAACGTTATGACAACCTGTGGATCAAAACCTTGTGGCTTTAACATCCCCAAGCTGGTTGCATGGCACAACATCCGCCTCCCGCCCATCGTCCAGCACCGACCCAATGCTTGGCGAATCTACCTCCTGCGACCTGCCCACTAATCCACCCAAGTGCCACACATCCGAGCCACAGTGAAACTTCATGCACCATCTGACAATGTCTGGATCCTCCCCACTTGTGGGTCTTTCATCCATTTTACACCGGCCATCGGTAAGCCGGGCATCCGGTTAGATACCTCCGCGCCGTGTGGCGGCCGGCCTTCAGCTCTCGGACTTGGGCGTCCTGAGGCACCTCGAAGTCGTGGGTCCATCGCTCGCCCTCGGCCGCGAAGTGCACCGTGACCTGCGTCTCCACGCAGGGACCGTGCGACAAGGAGGGCGGAACACGGGGAGGTGGGGAGAAGCGAAGTAGGCTGAGATCGTAGCTGATACAAAGCCTCCAAGAGCTGGGGCCAAAGATGTGTCAAGATTCTGTCATGATCTTTGTTTAAAGTTGAAACTGTTAGCCGCTAGATCCCGCTAGAATTTTGCATGAATTTACTATCTCGCTGTATCTCGCCTTTGGGTAGGGCCGTCTTTTCCTCGCTTTGTTGCCGCTACGGGTCGAGGCCCCTTCTGACCATCTTGAAGGATGCTTCCGAACCCCATGTGCTTAGTAATTAGGGAATGAGGGTGGCTGGATCCAACAGGAATCTCTATATATTGGGGGCTCATTTCCTTATTCCCTTGGCCTCGTCGCACCAGTCACTTCTCCCGAACCAACCAGCGGGAATGCACCGGCCGAACTGGCGAACCAACAACCGTGGACGGAGGCGGGCGACCTGAAGTCCCTGAAACCGCCCAGATCCGCAAAGCTGAGCGGCTTAGCCGAAGTCCTCACCGTATATACATGTATATACATGTATATTACATGTAAATTACCCAATCTACTTTAGATACCACTGTTCCCAAATGGTGCAGCGCTGTGTTTCTTGCGGTCTTTCACAAAGTCATTGTACCTTAGCCCAATTGAGAAAAGGATAGAAAAGGGAGTTGCCTCAGGTCTGCCCACAGCAGTTTGTATGTATTTATCTACATCGCAGACTCTTATTCCTTTCAGACACAAGAAACATAAGCAAACCGTCCAGGTCTCCCGACCCACACCATTCCCAAAAACGTGGCGTGTCAAACACGTGCTGCGTTGGTAGCCCAGCGGAAAATTGAGAGCTGACGAAATCCGTGTGAATGTGGGGAGTATATGTCAATATAATGTATCTTCATGTTGCAGCAAAAGGACTCTTTGTGGAGTAGCAAATCCTCAACGTAGCGGGCATAAGCATTGTCATAGCGAATTCACTACCACTCAATTGAAGTCTCCCATGTTGAGTAAGGCTGCAGGTCAGGTACCCACCAACAGGTGAAAACGAAGAATTGGTGGCCGTGGATAATCCAATGTTCATCATTTCAGGTCGATGAACACCAGGAAGTTCATCGTTCATCAACGTTGTGTTGTGTGTGTGTGTGTGTTTTTTGTGAGTTGGAACAAAGGCCTGGAACGTAGGCCATCTACCATGTCTACTTTCTCGTGAATTTTGCAGAACCGTGGAATCGTTTGAGAGACTCTTGTCCGCTCGAAGAAGGGGACTTGTCCCACTTCGTTGTGTTACTCGTTCTACGAGCCAAGCAAGGCCTCGAAGTGGCGCGATCAAGCTGAGCCAATGGCGAAATCCGGGATCCCAGCAAACCGGTGCCCCAGCCTTCAAAAGATCCATGAAAGGATGTTCTGGTGTTTTCACTAAAGCAATAAGGCCGAATAGAGTAGAGCTTATCCTCAGCCTCGGGTTCTTGATTGCAAAGGGATAACCTACTGATCCTGACACAAACGACTTCATCACTTTTTTTGCCACACAGATTCAAGATTCCACCTGATATTTCTTGACTGCTGGACAAACAAGCCCCTTACTCAAAACCCAGCAAACCTTTGCGGCTGTCGGCGAAGCTCCTTGGATTTCCTGAACCAGTCAAGGCAGCGAGCCCGCTTTTTCTTCGAATCGCACCGCTGTCTTTGGGCCTCAGTCAGTGCGGGCAGCACCAACTCCGCGTGGACAGGGGCAGTCAAAAGGCACCAGATGGTAAAATCTGTAAGACCGTATCCTGTGGACAAGTTCTGTGTGTCGTGCCCATGCAGGGTTTTGGGACATTTCATGTAGAAGCACAGTGTGCTATATGTCATTTAATGGATTTGTATCAAGGTATGCTATTTGACACACCCTAGCAATAGGAAGGCCAAGTGCACACACATTCAATTCACTTTTGAAGGATAAACAACTTGGGAGAAACCCTGGATAAGATGTTTGAAGAGCACAGAAATCATCACTCGTGGTCCCGTGGGCTAGTAGTTTTCGCCCACAGCGGGAAAACAATATTCAAGATCTACTGTCTATGTGTGTTTGGGTGCAATCACACGCAAACAAAAGCTCATGATCACCCTAGTGGATGTTCATCCTGCCGAATAGCTCAACAGATCTTTTTCACACTCCCAGCCCAACACTCCCTTCCCTATATTTCCTGACGATCAAATACTCCCAGGAGCCCAAAGAAGTGGTCAACACTTTGGTCCTTCGTGATCCAGCCACCCATTGCACGTTGCACGACACCCCCTGTTCACCCTTTCTTGGTGGAACCCAGCAATCACCAGCCCGCAGGTTTAAGCTCCCCCAGCCCTAACCTCGTCCGAGCAACGCTTTGTGCATCACTGCTTTGACTGGACCTGCGAGACGTCCACGGACCAGAGGGACGCGATGGAGACCTTTGCTATGTCGGCAACGAAGAACCCAACGAATGGTTTATAGAGAGCACCTTGACCATCCTTGATCTAAAATCTAGCTCATCAAAAGGCAAAAGAGTAATGAAAAAAAATAGGGCCAAGCGAGACCTACTCTCCCCTAGACTCTTGGCTGAATCCTCCCAAGTGATCTGAAAACATCACTAGGCCATCTAGGTCTGACATGGCCTAAACCCAACTCCTTAACCTTGTCATGGCTTCACCCCTCCCGTCTCCGCATCGGCTCCCGCCGTTGGGAGCGCTTCTGCCGCTCCAGGCGTTGCAAGCGTCGCCGCGATTTGGAGATGCTGGGAACGCCTGTCGCTGAGTTGGGTAGCTGGAGCAGCTGAAGCAGCTGAAGCCGTTGGTTTCGAGCTGAGCTTCCAAGCCATTTTCGAACGGTGGTCGGAAACGAGATGAAACGAGTACAGTCGCCTCGAACATTCGAACAACTCCTCAATGATCGTCATTTGGAATTTGGTGTTATGGATTTTGTTTGGACTCGCTGCTTGGCATCGATCTGTTTTTTGTCCCACCTGCGCCGCGGGAGGTCGGCGAGATGTCTTCGCTGTGTGGCGCTGGCACTTCTCCAGTGGAGATGTAGTAGCTGCCGGCCACGGGGACAAAGCCTAGGACCAGTCCAGCACAACAAAGCATCTGCATTGGAGGTTTCGAAAGGGTTGAACACTTTGCGGTCTTGTTCCTGAAAGTGGAATCACTGTTTGTGATGAGGGACATGGGAAGGCTGAGTTTCTGCTTTAGTATTCAAACCGGGGTAGTTGTATGCAAATATTCTTGGTTTAAGATGACGCAATCTGCGGAAGGTGATTGCAACAGGTACAGTAAGTCAGTCAGTCTTTGTTGAGAAAATTCTTGACGATGATGACTGCTCCCATGCAGCAAGGCTCGACCAACACTTTTTGAATCGGCAATGACACTTGAATAACAACAACAACTCATCCCAATACTACCTAGTATATATAGGTGTGTGCCAATTTATCATGGCATTGTACGTTACACAAAGAAACCAAACACAATCTCCGGCTGGCCTTGGAGCAAAATGAAGCATCAAAGGATTCGAGTGTCATATGTAAGGTTTCTGGGCGCAGGCTATGACTCTACGTAACACATTAAGACACATAACATGCGAGATTGGCAGGATCTTCCGCCCTTTCGCATCTGAACTTCGCATCTGAACTTCGCATCTGAACACATGTTTGGAAGTCAACCACTTTCGGAGCCTGGTTCGCCGCAAATCCTGCCTCCTTAGATTCTCTCTTTAAGTTGATCTCACCTACACCCACGAGGAGGAGGTTCCCCGTCTCATGGCACTTCGTTCGTTCCTGTGGGTCATGGCACCGCGGGATCGATTGGTTGACCGAACATGAACAGAATTAGACTACTGAAGGAGGAATCGACCAGGCGTTCAGGGGCAACGCTCTTGCGGAAGGAGTTCTGGCAAGGCTTCTACAGCTACAGATCTGGCACCAGGCATCACTACTAGGAGCAAGGACGCTACGAACGGGGCACCAGGGTTTCCAGCGTTTCCAGGGTTTGGACCCACAGCCACCTCTCTTCCTACCACCTGGGTGCCGGGCCGGAGGCGCCAAAGCGCACAGGCACGGAGGGGCCCTCCGGGTCGTCGGAGCGATGCACCTCCACATGCAGGTGCCTCGGAAAGGCGTCTCCCGCCCAGCGCGGCCGATGATGAGACCACTGTCGATGATGAGGGGAATTCTCCGGAATTTCCCCTGCAAGTTAAGCTCGATCTCGGACAAATTTTCAGGTTTGCTTGCTTTGCAGTTGTTGAACCTGTGCACTCGGGGTCTAGATTAGATGTTCCGCTGCTTGCTAATCTTGAGACTTCCTTCCAGCCATGTGGACCACTATAGGTGGCATCGTTCATGATCATCCAGAACACCTTGTGCCCAGTCTAACGCACCTTGTCAATTCTAGCTCACCATGCGGACTCCCACCTCCGGACCCACAGAGTTGGACCATCGGGACCCTCTGGACCAGGTGTGCACGTGATGGAATGCATCTGAGATGTACAACACCCTGCTGAAAGGAATGCACTATATGTAATGCAGGATGTGAAGCGAAATTCTCTCCATCTCTGTATCAAGTCCAAAAAAACCCTTGCTTCTACAACACCCGTGCAACACCCGCCCCGAAACACTAAAAATCAAGCACCAAACACCGTCACCACCGAAACCCACGCCGACCAAACGGGCCAACCTTCGTCTTCGCCCAGGCGCGGCTCGGGCGCGAAGCCGATGTCGCCGGACTCCCCGAGGACTTGGCCGCACTGCACGTGGTCGCCCACCTCCGTTGGGTCGGGGTGGACCGGGGTGACCGAGGGTGCCAAGTGATGGGATGCCGGTGATCGATGGAAGTGATTGGACTGGCTCAAAGATGTTCAAAGTCGCGGAGAAAAAGGATGAAACAGCAGGATAGAGAGCAAAGATTTGACTCTTTTGCAATGACATTTTAGAAGGCTTTGGTATGCTTTTGTCCTGGCATCTAATTTGGAACCGAAGAAATCACAGATCTGGTCAGCTGTTCCGTTTCTGAGGAAAACATTGTAGGACAGTTAAATCCTGGGGTTATCCCGTCCATGTCGATCTGAGGTTGGTGGTTTTTGGGTGTCCCCGTCCCAACTGTGCCTCCGAACTTGGACCCGGTCAAGAGATGTACCCGAGGAGAGCTTGAATTTCATTCGCGGATATTCGCGGCGCCTTGACAGGTCCTATTTGAGTCAAAGATCCGGATTTAAACAGCCGCCAGCTTAGTGATTTAAACACCTTCCTGACTTCGAAGTGTCCTCAACTCCGAGGGACTTGCCAAAGCAAATGACGACCTACAGACTACTCAGCACTGCTTGGGCCGCGCTAGCGCTAGCGCTCAGCACGGAAAAGCCTCCCTTCCGATGCCTGCACTTGCGCACAGCCCGGCATGACGTGCAAATAGTCCACGATGAGACCGCAGGAGAGGAGCACCTCTGGCGCCCACCGGAGTGAAAGAAGCCAAAGCTAAAGAGGTGAAGGACACAAAGGGTGAAACTCTGTGGACTGCAGGTGTTACTTTTTCAAGACTTCCACTCCAATCTTTGCAAATGTCTTCTCCCCTCAAACAAATGTATTCTCCAACGTCATCCAACAAAATCCATGAATCCCCCAGGTCCCTCCCCACCGAGATGGAGTTCCACTTGGCCAAATTCGCTGCATGGATGCCGCCACACCTGGATGCCATCGACCGGACGGACGTGGCCCCTTTGACTAGCAGGCCTAGGCAGGAAGTGAAATGGATATGGAAGAACTTAGGCAACACAGAAGGAAAACGCAATGGGAAAAACACATGGGAAACGCATGGAATTTGGAACCATGTTCCCCGAGCCTTTTCGCTCTCCAGAAAGCACCTCAGGAAAGTCCTGGAACCAGTCTGAGACTTGCTTCTTCAACGCATCTGTGAGGCGCTGCCTTTTGACAGGTTTCAAGATATTTTTGAAACGAGCCACAGAGCGTACTTTTGGGCTGCAACTTGTCCCCGTTTGCACCCCGCAACGGGGAGCCCCTTGATCCTCCTTGCGCCGGTGTTTGTCCTGAAGGATCCATTTTGTCGGTGCTTCCAGGAGCTTCCGACCGCCAGCTTCAAAGCAGAACATCTTTCACTTAGTGGCTCCACTCAAACACGTCTCCAGCCATGTAGCAAACCATGAGTTCGAGACACAAGGCTACGGTGGAACTTTTTGATGCCTGGTTTGACACTCTTTTTGTCCTTGATTTGGGATAGACGTGCCAAGATCCTCATCACCTGAGTCACAAAAAATAACCTGGTCCGCTGGGATCGCCCACTACATATGCACATCTTGCTTTTTTTAGATACCACTCACCTGCGGTTTTGATCATTTTGGACACCACTACCTGTTCCCAAACCCATCCTTCGCACCCCGAAGCTCCATCGCACTCTCACCCACTCTCATTTTCTCCGAGGTGCTTGTGTGACTGGCAGATCTCCTTGACAACCCCAGCCCCAATGCCTTGGCAGATCGTTTTTTCCGAGGAACGCCCAAGGGGTGCTGTCCTCCCTGATCATTCCACTGAGGTGAAGGTCGATCGTTGTCTGGAAAGGGACGTTGCCAAGTTGTGGGGTTTCTGCGACATACTCTGCAGTAAGGTTCACTTGGAGAGTTGGAGTTGCTTGCTTGCAAGGATACATTTGCAATTCGATACATTTTCGTCCATTTTCACCAAAGCAAAGGTTTCATCGCAAATCCGTGGTGCTGAGCACTGGGGTGTGGTTGGCACATCGCAGATCGATCGCATGGTAGCTCTCCTTGGTGGCTGGCGAAACTGGTGGAGAGCGACCCGCGAGGACGTGGAGAAGATGTTTTGACCGGGCCAAATCCTTTGAGCGTTCCATAAACTTTGATTATCTTCATTCCAAACATACAAGAGATACCCTTTTGCCAGCCCTGATTTCATGTGGCGCGTAAGAAGTAGCAACCAGTTTCAGGAACCAACAACAAATACCTATAGTTCTTTTGGTCGACTTGTGTGTGTGTGATGAGAACCTCTTTTGCAAAGAGTCATGAGGAATATATATATATATGTATAATTAGAGGAATTAACCCTTTCCAAACACATGTCCTTGAAGTGTTTCGCTGAGCCTTCCCACTCTCAACGACATCCCCAATCCCATCGAGGTAGTCGAGGCACTGGAAAGAAATGTGTCAAGTGTCCTCCTACTCCCTGGGTGCACAAGTAGGGCCCCTTCTCGTCTGGCAAGGGAAAGCCGAAAGGCTCCTGCCGACCGCACGCACCGCCCGGTGGATGACCTTCATGGGTCATGCGTCGGGGTGGCAAATGGAGGTCTTTTCCCTAGTAGCATCCCTCCTAGTAGCGATGCCAGGAGCCCCTAGTAGCTTCTTGTTCCTAGTAGTACGGCCAGGAGCCCCTAGTAGCTTCTTGTTCCTAGTAGTACGGCCAGGAGCCCCTAGTAGCTTCTTGTTCCTAGTAGTACGGCCAGGAGCCCCTAGTAGCGTCCTTGCTCCTAGTAGCAAAGCCGAGAGAGAGAGAGAGAGAGAGAACGTTAAATTTTGAACTGCAGAGACCGGGAATGATTTAGACATGCCAATCTAACCTTTGCAGGTCTCATAGGCCTCATAGGGTTTTGGGAATCGGCCCCACGAACATTTACAGTTTGTCGGAAGTCTCAGGAGCGTGAAGGAGGAGCTTCGCCCATTGACAGAAAAACTCACAAAGTAAGTGATCAGTCCATTGCAGTTGTGACAAGTCTTGACCACTTCAAAGACCATTCTCCTTTGTGAGAAAAAAATGTGAGAACCATGAAAATCCTGATTCTTTTTTTTCTCCTACAAGCTCCACCAGCAACAGGTGCCCAATTAATCCCAGTTGAGGAACGAGGGCGGCCGATTTCAAGTCTTGGGAACCGGTGACCTACCAGCACCTTCAGTTCGGGGTCACCTGGTTTCGCCCCAGCCCACCACTAAGGGACCTCCAGACAGGACACCTCTTGAGAAGGTCCAGGTACGAACGTTCGTGGGAACTGCCTGGATCCTGTGGGGTAGCTGGGAGGCGCCCCCACTTTGGAACCAATTCCGTTCTGCGTCCTGGGGCGGCGGGGCCTGTGGGGCCTCGCCCGGAGCGGGGCATTGTGCCGGGCAGAACAACCGTTTTCGGTCCTTGTCTATCCAGTCTTTCGGATGCCTGTTTCCCATCTACTCTGAACCTTTCAGCCTCATTCCACATTCTTCTGGTCTGTTCCCATCTTACTTGCGGTTGCACTGCCATCAATGACTCTTCCTGTTTTCAATCAAGAACTGCCGCCCAAAGGTTTCGACCTCGGGACTGAGCGACAGGCGCTCTGTAGCCTCTCCAGCTCGATAGCAAAGAAGCCACGCGTTGGGGGACCCTGCCAACGACGACGACCAAAAAGGCGCGCTGCGGAAGGGATGAATCTGGGACCGTGGCACGTCATGAGCGCAAGCAACACACACCACATAGGCAGGAGCTATTCCCCCGGCTCTAGACGTTGTTTTGGGAGTAGTGACATTTCCAGCAGTCTCTTGCTCCTGTGGAATTCGTTTTAAATCCTTGAGGACATGTTGATGTACCAGAATGACCGCTGAAGGAACCAATCCTTCTACCCTGGATTCTACGAAGCAAATGCCTCTTGGCCAAACAAATTGTTCTAGCGCCTGCGGTACAGTTACTGTATATGGTATGACACACCGAACTGCTTGAAAAGCTTTAAGACACATCAATACTTCCTTCAGGCTGACTGGGTTAACAATGATTCAAGCTTCCTTTCTTGCATCTTTTCTACTAGTGACACTTCCTTTGGTTCTGCCCAAAACCACCTTTTTCCCTTGCTGTTCGGTGGCCTTGTGAACACTTCTATCTTTTTGACTGATATATATATATATATAAAGATATAAACGAAGTCTATCGACTCCATCAACCCGAGCTGAATCAATCTGATCCAAACCGCTCCGGACGTCGGACAGGTCCCAGTCCTCCAAAGCCCCCAAGCGGACGGCAGTCCTTGGGTCGGCCACCACCACGAAGGTCCTCGAGTTCCACGCGATTGAACAGTGAAAAGGAGTAGTTTGAATTGCTATTTGTTCAGTTGGGGATCCAGCAATGAGTTTCGTAACTGGGATTTCTGCCAAAGTGAGTGGTTGCCAGTAGGTAACTGTAGGATGCAACTATAGTTGTGGACCCAGCCAAATGAGCTAAAATGTCCTTGTCAGCATGTCTGCCTCCCGCAGACCCTTTCTGGGCCCTTCAGTTTGTCTGGAACTTCAGGCCAACATGGTTAACCTTCTTGCAACTCATCTTGGGGACACCGATACCCCCCCAATTCAGGGTCAACATCGATACTTCTTCCTCTTCGGCATCGCTGTCTAGCTCGGCGGGTGAGGCAGCTCCGTTGCGACCAAGATTCGTGGCCAGCTCCTCCTTCCCTCCATCCGAACGGGTGAGGCCTGGGCGGTTGGACCGGTGCCGAACAGGTTCGACTGGTCTCGTGTGGTTCGACCACAACATATGTAAGTCGAAGAATTTGGGCTGGCAGAAACTGGTAGATATCGCATAAGAGCAGGGGTGAACACTGATAAATAAGGTAAAATGATCTATGATCCAAACTGATAGCACAAACTCTTGTCAATTTGTATTTTACTATATATATATATGTAGCTATAATGCAGGTAGCACGTATGGCTCTGTCCGCAAAGCTCCCTCTTGTCCGGATTGGTCCAGGCCACGTCACCATTATCACCAGCAACACATTGGACGATATACTGTGATCCCATCAACATGCAGGTTGTTTATAAAGACTAGTGATCGCCTGCCTCCTCTGAGCCCAGCCCTGCTTCTCAAGTTCTCGCTACGCAGGTATAGATTTTGCGTTTGCCCTACTTCTTGTTTTCAATCAGGAGCTGTGACACTACCTGTCAACTGGCCTTGGCGGCCGTGACTCAGTGAAAAGCCAGAACATTAATGCGAGAGTCTATTGAGGGACCATAAAAATATGCATACACATATTATATCTGATTGTATGTATAGATATGTATAGTCTGCTATAGTTGTTGGATGTTGTTTAACAATGTTGGATATCTATTTGGGATTCTATCGGGTTATATCCCCCACCCAGGATCAGTCAATGAAGAACAGGAGCTTATACCAAGCTCAGCGAACATCAACATCATCAACTCTTGCCACACATTTCTCGGACCCGATCTCGCGTGGGTGTGAAAACATCACCCAGATCGAGCATCACCCGATCTTTTTCCGCACCATGTCTTTCGCTAAAAGTTGTTTGATCCTGATTCTTCAGCGTCTCAGGACCTCAGCGTTTCTTCGTCCCAACGACGCTTCCCGTCGCCGACGCTCGTCCGTCCGCCTGGTTCAAAGCGCGCGCCATGGCGATCCACCACGCTTTGGAGGAAGGTCAAATACCTGGAAACGGCGTGTCTAGCTGCACCGGGGGCGAGAGGGCTGGTTGCTGGTTCAACCCTTTTTTGCGTGGCATATTAATATCTAAGATTGTCGAAGCAGTAGATAGAGTATGAAGCAATCCTATTGATTGTGGTTTTGGATCTCTCCATATTCTAATTGCATTTACAGGTGCTTCTGCTCTCCAACATGGTTTCGTTCGTGGTATAGTTCGAACAAAAATGAACAAACTAGTTCTCCTGAAACAGAAACAACATACAACAAAAGGCACCGCCGGGGGGGCTGCATTCTGCGTCACCCGGTCGGTGGCACCACCAGAGGCGAGGATAGAGCGACTGGATCTGCTTAGACTGGTCGAAAGTGAGAGATTGTGGTGTGGTGTGGCAGGAGTCCCATCCCAATGCAGGAGTCCCATCCCAATGCAGGAGTCCCATCCCAATGCAGGAGTCCCATTCCAATGCAGGAGTCCCATCCCAATCCATTCAACAGTAGAAACATGTTGAAACATGTTTAACTGGTGTTCTTCCAGCCACTTGGACGAGTAGGGGACTGGAGAAGTCCTCATATGATGCATTCGAAAACAAATGAATGGATGGTCTAGCCCGACCATCCAAACATCCACCATGTTGCTTTGAACCTAATTACATATAATTATTACATACTATTACTACAGTATACCCACAAACATTACTAAACATTGAGTTCTTCAAGTCTTACTACCAGTACCACCAGTATATTCCACTGTACTCCACACAACCCTTCAACATCCGGTCGCCGGACCCCGGGAGCCCTGTCTTCCGCGACACCGGACGAGTGCTCCGTCTTCGTGGTCGCGACGCCGCGACAGAGCCGCTCTGTCTCCCCCCCGGTGTGGCACGTGAAGGCCGGATATGGCTTCGCGTTCACCACGCTGAACACCTGCGGATCGTCGATGACATGGAAAGGACCGGCGAAGTTCACGGGATCTCGCGGTGCCTTGCTGTCAGGATCCCAGTGAAACTCCTCCTTCTGCGCTTCCTGTGGACATGGAAGGCGGGAGTGCGAAGACATGGAAGGCCGAACACTGTTGGGCTGTAGGGGGGGCTCTTCTGGTAGAGTTGGTCAAACACACATCATCCTTTCTAGTGTACAAGATTCAGTTGCATCAAAGGTCGACAAGGCACAAACAAGTTGTCGATGGACCAAGTCCTGCGCCACTTCAAATATCTTCAAATACCTTGAGGATATCCAATGCACCTTTTGTGTGTCACCTTCATAAGCACAAGTGCTATGAGCCAGCGAACAACTGGGTCTGAATCCATTCAAAAGCTTTGGCAGATCTCAGGTGGCTTTTCGGGGATTTCTCTTATCCTGTCCCCCTCCCGGTCCTTCTCTGGCACCGGGAAGATGCCCCAAATCGCCGGGTGCGAGCGATGCACCTGAAGACTCGGCGTAACACTACCCTGTGCCTTCGGTGAAGGGAAACTAGAAGAGTCTATCCAGCCAGGGCCAGGGATGGAACGTGAGTGAATCTTTGGCCAGCCATCCATCTTACTGGTCCAAAATCGAACCCACAAACGAGAAACAAGCGGATGCGGCGGCTGCAAACGGTGAGTGTGTGTTTGTGACCTTACCTTGGCCGGTCTGAGTCAGTGAGGCGAACCGGGGTGACCGGACGGATGCTGCTCAAACCCGTCGAACGCCACGGTGGGCGGCAATCGTTTCGCTGTTCAATCTGTATCTGCTATAGGAACTAATTGAATAGATGGCTGGCAGAATCCTACCAACTGAACCTATCAATGGAATTGAACACAATGGAATTGAATGTATCGGTTTTTTCCTCCCTCTCTCTCTCTCTCTCTGGTTTTCGAGTGTCTTGATCGGTACTCAAGAAGTGATGGTCAGACCGGGCCAGAAAGTCCCCATGGCACCATTTCAAGTGATACAGTATATGGTTGATTCATGATTGTTTCCAGAAGAACTCACCACTTCTAATGGATTCTTTGGGTTTAACATGGTTTAAGACTGTTTGAGAGGTTCTTTTTCTTTTCGGCCAGGGTGATCCTTTTCAAGTGATCCTTGGCCGGATCACCCCCAAACCGAGACTCCCACGACCACACACCCGCGGCAAGCACTGGGAAGGTAATTCCCCGGCCACACGGACACCATGGCACATTGGCCGTGGTCTGCCGTGGTCTTTGTGCGCTGAATGTCGTTCCACTCGGTGGACGCTCGGGCTGGCGGGGGTGATGTAAGGAGCAAAGCTAAAGATAAAGAGTGGGGGAAGAAATGGAGGCTTTGTGCTAGCGTCACTGGATGCCCACGGCCACCCATGTGTGTGTGTGATCATGTGTCACATGTAGCTCTCACATGAAAGCATTCTGGTCAATGGCATTATTTCATTTTACTTCTGCAGCTTCTTTCTCCAGCAAGGGCATTGAGCCGGGATTGGACAATGGAAGTCGTTGCACTTCACCCAGGTCTTTGGGTTGGGGTGCAGCTAAGCAGTCTCAGCTGAACCTGAGCACATGGATGCAGCCTTCATTGATCTTTATTGCTTCAACTGGCTGCCAGTAGCACCCGAGAAAACAGCCCAGGTCAGTGGAGGTCCCCTTTGTAGAACTCATCTGCTTCAACCTGACCCGGAGGACGCCCCCAGACGACCTGATTCGGGTGATGAATGGTTTCTGGGGTGCGACACTTTGATCCCCGCATCTTCGAAGGTTTCTGACACTTCTGCATCACAAGATCTACCTATGATCTACCCATTTGCATCCATCTGCCTGCAAGCTTCACACATTTTTCAGCTGACAAAAATGGATGACCACTGCAGCTTATGGGTGCTTCAACCGAAGAGACGCTCCCCCACGAAGGGAGGCTCGCCATTTTCTATACCTGTTTAGAGAAAGAACGATTTCTGATTGATTTTGAGGAGCTTGATTTTGATTGATTTCTGATTGACTTCTCCCATCTTCTCGCTATTCTTCCATCTATGGGGAGGGGCTCGAGCCTTTTGGGGGGCCTCGGGAGACCATGTCCGCGATTGAGATGGACCTCTGTTGGCCCAGCACCGTTCGCAGTGTCAAAGAGTGAAACCGAAAAACGCTCGCAGCTGGCGGACGGCTCTTTGCCGAAGCCAGGCCCAAAATCACAGCGTTGCTAGTCACTATGGTTTGGACTGCTGTCCTGCGACAAGATGATCTGAAGCCAAACGAACACATTCGGAACCCGTGGCGGCAGAATGTTTGGTGTTTGCAACACCTGGTCCCAAATCTATGATACTGTAAATCTTTGGCCACGGTCCCTGTGATCAATCTTGATGCCTCCATTGACAGTCCCCGTGCTGATTCAGCATTTCCTGTTTGAATGTTATTAGTTTAGAGTTTAGACAGTCGCATCTTCATTCGGTGTGACACCAGACTACATGATTTAATCCCGTCGATCTTTCTACCCAATCAATCAATCAATCAATTTATTTAATTGCTTGTAATATTGAAGTTGCGAAAGCCAACTCTTGTTGAGGAGTGAGTGAGAACTGAGGAGCGTAAGTCAGGGTCAGGATATGGTCTGAATTGGAATCACATGGGGACTTGGAAACACAAGTCCACATCAAAAATTCTCAGTTGCCTCTCCACATCAGTTGTCCTCTCGACATTGACCACTTTGGGTAGAGCTGCTGTCCCTCCGGTCTCTCCTTTGCCAAACCAAAACCATCTACAGATCGATGTCTTGGACCCCAAACAAAGGCAGATCCCCAAGCCTGTCGAGATCGATATCGATCTTCAGTTGCGCTTGCTGGTCGCTCTCAGACCCCCCTAGACACCGAGAAACCCGTTGTACCCGAACCGAGCCGACTTCGAGGAACCCGAATCCGATCCGTTGGACCCACACCACTCCAACCCAGTCCCACGCGGATGTCCTAGGCCTCGCAAGGCATTGGGCATTTCTTGGGCGTCGCCTTGTGGACCGCCACCTATAGAAGCGAGATCAATAGAGAGAAGACTCGGAGGTGGAGGGGAAGGGGATGAAGTGAAGGAAGAAAGCGAAGACACCAAAGAAACGTATGAAAGTGCAACATACTGTTTGGATATGTTGGGCATTGTTGGGCATATTTCTTGCATTTTCTTGCCATATTGTTCTTTATTATTCCAACTTGGAAAGCTGAAAAGCATCAAACGGCGTGGCGTTCACCAGTCGTTTTGGAGAAACAGCTTCGACCAACGAAGCAAGGAGCTCTTCTGACCCCTTGAGCTGGAGCTTGATGTGTTCGAGACAAATCCGCAGCGAGCTATAGCAACGACCACTGATTTGACTCCTATAGGATGGGAGTTCATGTGTGTCGCATCAAAACAGGGGATCAAGCACTTCTTCAAAGCCCTTCAAGATCCTTCAAGTATTGTACATTAAATGTCGCTTTGATACCATGCAAATCCATGCAATACACAACGCAGTGACTTGGGTTCTTCGGCTAGGCGGCGTTCTCCGAGTTCTTCGGAGCGACGCTTCGCGTCTGACGGAAACGTGCCTGGAAGTCATGGAAGCTGGACTCCTTGGTCAGCCCCTTGTACCTGCCAAATCAGGGCCAGTCTTTTTGGCAAAAAGCTTGGAGCCTCTTTTCCTGGACTCGCTGCGCAACCATCAGCAACTCACATGTTTCTAACCCTGCCTACGACTTACGACGCTTTCGCCTTTTTGTGGGAGTAAAGCGACTCGCTTTCCGTCTCCCAATTTCCCCATCAATCGCTGGAAGCGAAAGGCCACCGATCCGGCGCTGTTTGACCGACCACGGACCACACGGTCGACGGTTTCTCTGCTCAAGGCATGTGAAAAGCCGCTCCGGACCGCTGGACGATCCACGGACGGCGCACGTTGGACCGAAATGCACCTTCTGGGCATCGGTCACCTTCTAGAACAACTGTTGGAGGGTCCGTCTCGTATGTACATGGTGGGCTATCTTGGAATGTGCAATGTAGCCGTTTGGCAAGGATCACAGTACTCCATGTAACCCATGAGAATCCGATCGTTTTACACTGGACCTACTTCTCCTGCAGCCACGAGCCTCACGAGTCTCTCTCCATTTGGTCCTTGGGCGCACCAGGTGGGATGCTGGGTGATGCCGCTCTTCATGGCCTCGCAGCGCGTAGCGGTGCCACAATCGTCCAAAAGAACGAGGCGGGTTGACTGCCAAGCTGGACTTGGGCGGGTCTCGAGTGGGTTGACCTCCATCAAGTCAAACGCCCAGAGCGAAGGAGTTTGTCGCCAGTCAATAGGTAGAAGCTTCGGGGGGGGCCGCAGAATCTGGAGACAAACCCGTGGATGTTGGTGTAGGATGTGAACCCAAATCTGGAAATTTAAGAGAAACTAGTGGCTGATCCTGTGAGAAGAGGCAGCAGTGATTATGGCTTCCACTTCCGCTTCGTTCGCAAACAGCTGTAGTCTCCCTTGGCGGAGACCAGCTGGGGTAACTGCCTACAAATGCTGAGGGTTCTGTCCAGTCCACAAAGGTCGATGTTCCCTCCTTTGAAGATGTGGACCGTCCACTGATTGGATGTCGTTCTATCATAGATCGTTCTGATTTGAGCCAACCAAGAACCAATGGTAGCAAAAGGAGTACATGCAAGCTGATGGATTGAATGGACCCAAAAAAACCAGTCCCACCCGCTTTGTTCAATCTATGCGCCAAGCAGCCCACTTCACAGCAGAGTAGCAGTGCTCTCCAGCCACTGCCGTATGACATCCCGCATCTTTGGTGCAGGGCAGTGGGCAGTCCTTGGGGTTCACGTGATGGACACGCGCCTGGCAGGATGCACCACCCGCAGGATCGGCCAGAAAGGCACGAGTGGGTCGGGGTGTTTTTTGACCAAGAAATCGGGTTCCTAGTAGCGTTCTTGTTCCTAGTAGTAAGGCCAGGAGCCCCTAGTAGCGTCCTTGCTCCTAGTAGAGATGCCAGGAGTTCGTAGCAGCGCACATTGTTGTTAGTGCTTAGAAATCAGTTCTGAGGCAATGAAGGACCTCACATGGAGCTGCAAACTCTTCGGAGTTTCGTGCCCACACAGGCAGGCAACGTTCCAAAGCAATTGCCTTTGATCGTTCTATACCTCTTCCGGCTGTAGGTCTCTTTGGACGTTCTTCCAAGAATGGCGGGTCTCCGCAAAACGCTTGCGCCACCTGGAAGTCCGAGAAGGGGGAGGACGAGGTGAGTCCCGGGTACCTCAGCTCAGCCAAGGCTGCGAAAGCTTGCTGACCCCTATATATAGTGACTATCTATCTAAACCCAGACACTCCATGTATGCCTATGCCCGCATTGGGGTGGTTTGGGGGGGTCAATGTAGGTATATACGGCATACATGGAGTGTATGGGAAATGAAACAAATTTTTCACCTCTGGATCACACGCGGTCGACAATTTTGTCGTCACATTTCACTGAAAGGACACACACCAAAACCATCCAAAACCACCATTCCCTTCCAACGAACATGGAAGTGGATGGCACCTCCTTGTTTGATAGAGAATCCGAGAATCCCAGGGGCCTTGCCATTTACATGTGATGTCTTCGTTTCGTCGAATACGCCGTTCGCGCGACCTCTCCGCTGAGCGACCAGGTGGGGTGCAGCTTCAATCCGTGCTCCTTGGCCCAGGTCACTGCGGAGTAGCAGTGGGTGCCGAACTCCGCATCCTCACGAGTACCGCCCCGGCAGCACGAAAAAGAGACGGCAGCACGACAAAAGGACCGTGGTGGGTCCTGGAACTGAAGGCCATGGTCTTTGGATGTCTTTGGTGATTCGTTTTTGTGCAGGGCTCGAAAAATGCCGATCTGGATGCTTTTGGTCCGGTCACTTGATCCAGCCCGCCTTGCAGCCAGCAGGTGTGCTCAAAGCTGTCTTGGTGGTCTCCTCTGGAACTGGTTCCTCTGGCAGGCGCCGGAGAGAGCATCCGATTTCCAAGCTTGGGAGCCAAGTTGAGGTTCAAACAACCTGTTGATTGTTGTCTGCAGCTGAGATTATCTCACTATATATATATATAGTACCCCCGAAACAAAACCAACCCTTTCATCACATTTATTTGTAGTTACAGTCGTTTATGTATTTTTTTGCTATAAACGGTCTAATTAAAATACAATGCACTTTACAACGACAACCAGCAACAAAACAACAAACCAAAACAAAGAAAAACATAGAATTTAATGTTTGGCTCAGCCTCAAAAAATGTTTTTTTGTTTTCATTGTTTTTGGTTTTGAAAATACAAAAACCAAAAAAACCCTTGTGCTTTTTGGTTTTTAACGGTTTATGGTTAAAGATAATAATACCTTATGTGTTTTGTTTTTTGGCTGTATTCTGTGCTTTGGTCCTTTGGGCTTTTGCACAACCTGTATATTTTTATTGGACATTGACTTAGATTTGAACTGAACTATAATCAAAATTTCATTGAAATTTATTTTTTTGTATTTCCAATGAACTTCGAATTTAGATCTAGTTCAATCCTTTTTTTAAATGTTTTGCAATTGTAGCTTAATTTTTTGAACCAAAATTGACATGAATTCATAAAGATAAAGCTTTTTGATAGTAAAGTATAAATCTATTGAACACTAATTTAGTGTAACTACCATTTAAATCATACTTAATTCTACTTTTAGAAGTGCAACATCGAATTTGAATCTGATTGAATTCAGAAAGAAATCCATTGATTTCTAATTGAAGTTTAGTTTCAACCTCCAATTTGATCTTAATTCAGTTCTAATTGACTTTGCATTGAATTCTAATGTAGTACCATTATAAATGTCATTTAGTTTTAAATCTCACTCAAGTCTAACTCTATTTTATGATTACAGTAACTCACTTCTAAGCGAGCTGCAGGTTAAGCAATGCTATTTAAATTATATCTTAATTCTTTTCCACTTCTACTTGAAACAACAAAAGTTTATTTCAATCTTAATTTATATAATTCAAACTCAATCATGAATTCAGTCTAATTTGCTTTTAACTTATCTCGAAGTTAGTTCAAATTTATACAGTTGTATGTCAACTTAATGTAGTTTATATTTCAACTTACTTTGTAATTCCCTTTTAGTTTCCGCTAGTTAAATCTTATACACTAATTCAGCTTCAGTTGTTTAAAAATCTAGTTTAATTATGCTTTCCAACTTAATTTTGGTTACTTCTAATGTAATCTTAATTCGTTTCTAGTTCAAAGCAAAGTTATTTCTAATTTAATGCACATTGAATTCTGACTTTATTCTAGAGAGAGAGAGTGTTTGCTGGGGGGTCTGATTTTAAGAAAACAACCTTTAAGAAAGCAACATAATTTGCAATATAGTGTTTACAGTGTTTTTGCACATTTTTGTACAACACAATTTCCTATAGAAAACCAAAGTTCCAAAACTGCAGACCCCATGACCCGACCACAGCCACTCTGGGGACATAGGTTTGTGCAGTTTTTGGAACTTTGGAACTCAAAGTTCCAAAACTGCAGACCCCATGCCCTGACCATAGCCACTCTGGGGACATAGGTTTGTGCAGTTTTGCAAAACTGCAGACCCCATGCCGTGACCATAGCCACCCTGCGGACATAGGTTTGTGCAGTTTTGGAACTTTGGAACTTTGGTAGTCGAGATAATTTAAAAGCAGGTGTTTTTTTTTGGGGGGGCTAGCATATATATATATAGCTACATACATACTTTGTATTTTACTATTCCAGAATCCCATACTTTACATTATTCTCATGCGATGTTGGAAGTCAGTTGCATCAGTCTTCCAGGTGCGTGGTTGAGCACTGATAAAATGGGATGCAGTGAGGATGTCAAGGTGTGTTCCAACACGTCACCACGTCTTAGACATGCGGAGAAGTCTGCCACTGGGTAGCTGCAACGGCCCCCTGCTCGCTCTAGTTGGTCTACGAACAGGGAAGAATGGTAAATGGTTTTACAAGCCATGCTAAGCCAATGCTAGCCTACCAGCACCAACGACCAAGGTAATCACACAAATTGCATTCAAAATGTGAGTCTGCTTGATCAACTCCGTCCTCAGTAGTCTCAGCCTCAGTGGTCTCAGCCTCAGTGGTCTCAGCCTCAGTCGTCTCAGCCTCAGTTGTCTCGGCCTCCGTAGTCTCAGCCTCCGTGGTGGCGGTCTCCGTAGTCTCAGCCTCAGTGGTCTCTGCTTCCGTAGTCTCTGGCACTGTGGTCTCAGCCTCAGTGGTCGGAGCTTCGGTGGTCTCAGCCTCCGTGGTGGCGGGCTCCATTGTCTCTGCCTCAGTAGTTGCCACCTCGGTTGTTGCTGCCTCGGTGGTCTCAGCCTCAGTCGTTGCGGCCTCAGTGGTGGTTGGAGCCTCGGTTGTTGCGGCCTCCGTCGTGGGCGCAGCGGTGGTGGTGAGATATGAAGGATCCTTACCATAGAAGGCGGTGAAGTTGAAGTCGCAGGCTGGCGCTTCCTGAGTTCAAAACCGGCGAACATCCGGATGTGACCTATACACATCTGAGACCTGCTGACCAAAATGAGCTTAGTCGTACAGTACAGCTTTATGTATAATATTACACTGATTACACAAGACTGACCCTTTCGAAACTGGCCTAGTCAACAACAGTTGCTATGGAAACAAAGTATGGTGGGAAAGCCATCATGGAGCTAATTTCAGCTTCAGGGGAAGGACATGACTTTCTTTCGAGCAGTGGAAACCGCTTGTCGAGTTGAAAACAAGGTAAGGGAAAGTTTTGAACCACCGGTTCTTGTTGTTATTGTTTTTGCCTTGTCATGATTCTCATGGTTCTAAACTCTAAACATTGGCCAAGTATGCGCTCCTCTGTCCACTCCAAAATTCTCATGGTTTGCACCTCCAAAGCAAGACAGCACACGTCGCGAACGCGGCAACCGCCGCTACCAGGACATCCAATCCCTACTCTCCCATTCCAAACCATTCCAAGCCATTCCAAACCTTTTGTGTTTGATATTGGGACCCCATATAAACCATTCCAACTAAAGACATCCATGGCCAAACTTATTTGATCTCGCTTGGACCCGCCCTTTTCCCATGTCTTCGTATACGTCTTCCCGACCACTGATTCAGGGCTCCATGTCCTCATCCAAGGGCTGATCGGGATACTTCTTCTCAAACAAGGCCCTCACCTTCTCAACCCTCTCAATGTTCTTGGCTGTGACGTTCATGTTGTTCCTGCCATTGCAAAGCAGGCAAACACGGTTTTCTTACGGTCCGCCTGAAAAAGGACTGTCCAGGGTGTTCATGGGTTTGATAACCCCTTCCAAGAAGGATGATTCTTGTATATTCTTGGTATATGATGGGTGACAACTCTCCAAACGTGTGGGTTCCAATCCAGTGCGTGACATCAATTGAAATCATATGAATAATACGATTGAATCTTGCAGGGTCTAAATGAACCTCTGTCGCATACGGTCGCATAAGTCCATGGGACTGCTGTTGTCAAGCTGCACGGAGGCCCCAAACACGGCGAGGCACGGGTGTCCAATCGATGTTTCAGGTTGAACGAGGGTGGCAACAAACATCACCACCAGTACCACCTCCGATGTTGAAGAAGTAACAAACCTTTGTGAGGCGCACGAAGAAAAAAGAAAGGGTCACCGCAGCCACCGCCATCTGTGGCCGAGGATCCAAAAGGTGCACCCCTCGCCCTTGTCCAAGGTCTTGTTGAACTCGACGCCTCCTGCGGCCCAGCCACTGGGTGCACAGCTTTAGACTCCCATTCATGAGGTGTCTTGGCGAATCCACATGTAGCACCGACTGCGCCAAAGCGAGACATCCAGAAAGACGTGTGTAGCCCTGTTCTGAACGTCTCTGCAAGCACCGAATGTCTGGATCCGTGCTCTGTCGTTTGGATCCGTCGCAGTCGTCCAGTCCTGTGTGAATGAATTCGTGGTAGTCTTTGATGCCGTCCTAGGCTGGTCCAACACCGAAAGACACAGCCATGGTCGGTCCTGTTTTGGTCCTAAGAATCGCATGTGGGTCTCTATAGCATCGAAGGATGCGAAAGAAGGCTCGCTGAATGGAAATAGGCATGGATGGGAAAGGTTTCCATCTGTCATTTGTAGTGGTTTATATCTCTAATATATATATATTATTTACTGTATACAATACAAAACGATATATACTATAATACAATATAATGTAATTATAGTAATAATATAGTTTATTAGAATACATATGAGAATGATAATGCAATATGATATATATATAAATGTGAGTACTCATGTGAGTTCTTCCGGCAGAAGAGTTCTAGTGAAGCTCTACCATTGTCGGAAGAAGTTCTTCCACCTGTGCAGAATCTTTTCCTACTTGAAGGGTAGTTGACAGATGAAGGGTAGTTTATCAATGAATTTTTATGACTTGATCAGGTTTATCAGGTGCACCATCACAGAATATTAAAAACACCCTCGCTGCTCCAACCTTCGGTCCCATCTCACCAGCAGATCGATCCAGGCGTCGATCTCATCGATGGTCAAAGAGCCGACCACCTCGATACTGTAGGTGCAGTTGCCTCAAAGTTGCCAAAGCTTTTGGCTTCAACAGGCAAGTGGTCCCCCAGAACACAGCAACATAAGGTCGTAAAGGGCATCACCGTCTGAGCATGTTGCCTGCACAGACTGTACACCATGAATCTGTCGATTGGACCATGAATCTGTTGATTGGAAGGTTTGTTCTTCATTTCGAACGTGTCCCGAAATGGCCCCAAATAGATTGATGGAAAGTCTGTCCCATTTATTGGACTTGCATTGGCGTCACCATTTCTGTATCTAGTTTGGGACCTGGCCCTTGATCCTTTTCGCACATGTGGAATGGTCAATGTCTTTTCACTTCGCCAAGGCCATGGATGGTCATGACGAGCATGATGAGTGACCATCTAGGTTTGTGGCTTGTGTCCAGTACATCATTGTATATCTCACCTGACCCTCAACACGGGAGTGAGCCCATGCCTCACGTGTAGTTCCACACATCCTTGATCCACTGAGGTGCTTTTGTTTGATCCACGTTTGATCCACCGGTGGAACCAATGTCGCTTCTACATGACCTATCACATCTCTCTGAATTGTCTCTTTCCCTCACTCTCTCTAATGTATATATCTAGAAAAATGAATCGTTCATCGAATGGGAGTATATAATGATGAATCCAACATTGGAACCATTCATATGCAAGAGAAACAACAACCATCACTCCTAGCTGGACCGCTCAACTCTCTGAGAGCTTCAGGAGAACCAGCTGCCACATGGGGTTTCAAGATCCAACTACACTCCCCTATATTTCATCATGGAATTGAGACGCACGGCCCCTTGGATGACATCTACAAACAGCTGGTGCCATGCACTTCCATGATGATTCCAGGGAGTGTAGAACTTTCCCAGCCTTCACCAGCCTCTTCCACTCCACGAAACGCCTGCATCGCACTCGCGCCGCGCTCACGGCGGCCTTGGCCAGTGGGTGTTCCATCACAACGACCACCTGGCTGCTCCTTGATGCACTTCGCATCCTTGTCCTGACTTTCGGGCGGCTGCGCAGGTCCAGAGGTCCCCAGGCTACTGGAGAAGCACTGGTTCGTCCACCCTCCGTCCATTCTGTGGGTACGCGGTACGCATACTCTCCTTGCAGCTACTGCTCTGCTTCTTGCAAAAGTGCTCTTAGAAGCCAACCTATTCTTATCATGTTTATCTATTTCTTGACATGTAAAAAAGAAGTACAATGTTTGGGGAGAGAGTAGTGTGCTGGTCCATGAGCTGCAAACATCAATCGTTCTGGGAAGATTTGAGATGCGTCTTGCTGAACCGGACAATTTGACATCAAGGAACCTATACCGGGGTGGCAACTGCTTAAGCTGTTGTCTCCTCCCGCTACATCCTGCTAGATACTCATAGATACTCGGATTCATCTCGGATTTAACATCCTGTGAATCCCACTCTCGTCCCGTCAGCAGTTCCAGTCATCTAGCCCAGCCCTCGCTGCCATGTCCCAGTCCAGCACACCGGTCTGGGCCGCGACCGGTCACTCTCCTGGTAGGTCTTGGAGGAGCAAGGCCCTGGAAGAGCATACCACTTGGCCTCAGGGGCACGAACTTTACCGGTGCTACGGGGGCCTCCAAAGATCCTGGGTGCTGAACCTGAAGATCTTCATTGGATTGAATTGGGGGTCTATGAAATTTAGAGAGACCTGGAAAAAAAACCTGCAGAAGGGAAATTGTCCAGTCTACCCATGGGTGTGGGATCTCCCTATTCATTTACAGTTGACCCAGGTCCGGAAGCGAAACTCGGTAGTCCTTTTTGTGTTTTTTCTCCAAACATGTCCCACACGTCGTGCGAAAACCCGGATTTCGGACTGAGAAGGGTCGGTGGGAGGAAGTTCAGTGTGGGACCTTTGGGTCACCCAGCCATCTTCGAAGAGTTTCCAGCCATCTTCGCTGGTGGCGATGGGACGGGGGCGGAGACCCCGAAAGAGGCTCGATCGGCACCTGATAAGAGGCTCGATGGTCAGATGGTTATCACTGCCCTGGTCAGATGGACCTTTGGGATGAAGGAATTCTCTCAAAGGTGCGACCTCGGCCCGACCACTCGGTGGTACGGCTGATAATTGTGTTAAGAAATGCGTTCAATATGCAATTAGACTCTATACTTTCAGGGTTGATTTTATACTCTAGAGTCTAGATTCCGAAAAACATATATCTGTGAAAAAGAGTTATATATTGATATATATTATAAGTAATATATATATCCTACATATTATATATATATATATTGATTGAATTATATTCAGTAGTTGTACACAAAGTGACCTGGACGGCAGCTGGACGTTTCCAAGCTACGCCGGGGTAGTGAATGTCATAGGTTGGGAAGGGGAAGGAGCCGAGGTTGTTGCAACCCACGAAGTACCTTAGGGCAAACAGCGAATGAGGGACAGTGGCACCAGGACAACAAAGGAGAAATCGATGCAAGCCTGTCATCTTTGGAGGATTCTATCAGTTCATACCACCCCAGGATCTTTCCATAAAGCATTGAGGGAGGTTCACATCTGCCAGGGTCTCACTACCCTCCCCGATGTGGGTGATCAAATACAAACATGCAGCATCCTGCCATGGACCATGGCCGTTTCAACCATGCAAACATCCGCAAAACCGGAACCGAGCTGAAAGACTCATGTTGACCATCCAAGCAACGGTCTCCAACCTAGAAGCGTTGGCCTCCAACCTAATACGAGTAGCAATGGCAGGATCCAAACACTCCAGGAATATGAGTGCTCCCGGCGTTGGCACGTCAGTCCTTCCTGTCGTGCTGTCCAAACGTGATTCTCCCCGTGTCACAAGGGACCGGAAGCCAGTGAGGGACCAGGGGGGTCAGTGCGACCGGGTTCCGGGCGTTCCGGGAAAGGCTTCTGCCGTCGTTTGCTTCGGAGTCTTCCCAACGGCTGGGAGTCTCGACGCTTCACTGCCGGGAAAACCCCCCCAAAAGACGTCTCTTCACTCCGAAGTCCAGTGAAGCCTTTCTTCACTTCGAACAAAACGCCGCGCCCTCTGCCCTTGCCAACATCGAACGTGGATGGAAGTGGTCTAATAAACCAACTGGCGGCGTTTTCAGGGCGTCTCAACCTCTGCAAGCCTTCGGAACTCAGTGGTCTTTTCCACAGGGTTCCACCCTTCCATAGCAAGTCCTTTCAGCTTTTCACGGTCCCAAACAATCCCAGTGACCAGTATATAAGGAACCATGACCTCTAGGTCTGCAGTTTTGCAACTACTGGCTACCAGCTATAAACTGGATGTCCTGGGGTGGCTCCGCCCCATGTTTGTTCCTCTCCCAATTCCACTGCCACGTGGCCCGAAGCGGTCGTAGTTCAGGTCGCAGGACCATGGGCCATCGCACTGCGCGGAGTCGTAGGCGAAGCGGACGCCGAAGTTCATGCCCAGGTCGTACAAGGGCGTTGTGGATTTCGTGGAGATCCTGGAGGGGTCTGGCGGTTGGGCGGACTTGGGCGGTTCATTGGGTGTTACTTCTTGTACCTACGTCTACTACATCTATTTTACTTATATGCAACTACATTTGCAGTATATATATATACAGTAATATATATATATATACGAGTATATATAATATTATATTATAGAGGGGGTGAAATGAAAATGAGGATGTGGATCTTTGTGAGATTCGTCAACATTAAACTTCTTCGACTTTCCAACAATGCCACTGACAACATTGTTAGGCCAGTTTGATGATCCCACATTCCCGACGCTTGCATGAGGAAACCCGGCCCGTTATGTCGTAGCTCTATCAATAACGTTTTACATCCAGCATCTCCAGTTATCTACGCTAGGCGACTAGATTTTCATCTGGCGGGAGTCAACGTGGAGACAACAGAACCATGGAGACTCTGAGGACGGTTCTCTGGATTGCTTTGCTCAATGAGGTTGGACACCAGAGGAAACATAAAGAAACTAAACAAATTAACAACTGATCCAATGCTCTATGCTTGTATGTGACAACTCACTAGTGACAGCCCGAGGAGGCAAATCACCACAAAACATACCTCAAACTTTGCTTCATTGCAACTTGGTACTGGCAAACAAGTCTGACTCCAAACATTGTGTCCATGCCCCCAAACCCATTGGTGAAAGAAACAGAATCCCATGCTGAAAGTCTCCTGGGTCCCTATAGGTCCTTTCTTGAGCAACACATCGACCTATAACTCGATATGACCTGAACACTATATCAAACACTCCTATAGGGACTATGCCTACACCCCTCAAACCATCCCGAACTGAATCGGTCAAAAGAATCCCAGTCCCAAGTCCCCTACCTGCCCAACCCGAACCACACAACCCGAAGTAGCCGGAGACGAGACGCTTGTAGCGGACGATCTTGGAGATGTTGAACTTCCTGGGCCGCACGAAGACCACCTGGCTGTCACTTCACCCGGCAGGTGAATGTTGCAGCGACGGTGGCCGACCGTCGAAGGCGGCTGAGTTGGTGGCTGTGTTCTGATTCAAAGCTGTTGACCATGCACAACAGCTAAGGCCTGGGGTTCCCAAACAATGGAAAGCACTTTGGGGAGATGAGAGATCAGAACCCGTCCCATCATCTGATTGCCTCTCTTCAGTTTTACCCCGAAACGAGGCCGTAGGTCATGGAGAAGCCGGGTGAGGCATTGTGAAAATGCAGGACTTGGCTTGCTTTCCTGGAAAAGGGGTCAACCTTTGGATTTGCGGGAGGGCGCCCAAACTGTATCCGTCACATGAGATGGACGTATTTCAACAAATGCTTTGTTGACAACATGCAGGAACAGCCCGGAAAAAACGCACTTACCGACAATGGCCCTATAAGATTGGCCAGAATGTTCAACATGGGATCTTAAAAGGTTCGCGTTTGTCACCGAGATGCGCTCCCTTCAACCCTCTGTCACCATCGATCGCGACCCGTCGCGAGGCTGAGCACCTCGTTTTGCAGGTACCACAAGGTGCCGGCCAAGTTCCCCACGTTGATGTTGTCCAGCAAGTCACTTCCCTCCGTCCGGGCTTTCTGCACGAATTCATGTTCTGAGGACTCCCCCATGGCCACTTCGGGGTTGTGCTTTCTGAACGGTCTGCGATGTCGTAGAGTCATCGATTCTTTTGTTTCAGAAACAACTCGTGTCAAAGGTACCAAAACATCGGTGATCCAACTTCTCGCTCCCAGAATAGGGGGCTAATGGGGGCCATCTAGCCTTGGTTTCTATAGGCATTTGCCAACCTTCTCTGGTTCATATTCACTGCTGGACTTCTACCCCGCTTCACAAGGAGAGTCCAACGGTTGCAAACGCAGCAGACTTCTTGCTCGACCATGTTTTCTGCCAACAAGTGGTTCCCCAATGCGAAGAACCTTTCAGGTAAAAGAATTCCTTCTTTGGTAACAAGGACATCAGGTGGAGGCCATCGCAAGTAGGTTGGAGGCCATCGCTACTAGGAACAAGAAGCTACTAGTAGCAAAGTAAATTCTTTGGCTTGCCCAATTCTCCAGCCTGATGGGAAAAACTCTTAGAGCCTCTTGAGCCTCTAGTACAACTGATGATGGAATATGTTGGAACTAGTTTCCGATGTGTTCATACCTATTTTCATACATGTTCTGCATCATTATCTTTCAGCTCAATAGATTTCAGGCTGGGTGCCGTCGTATGCTGAAAAAAACCTCCGCACCCTCGCGCCTCTTCAGAGGAGGCGCGGTAGACGTAGAAGGTGAAGACCGGCGCATCGGAGGGCTCCTGCGTCTCGACTTCGTGCTCTGACGTGGTCGATGTCCACCGAGGGAGTGGTCTTGAGTTGGAACTGGTCAAAGTGACGAAGGGAATGATCTTTTTTTCATCTCTTTGGTTTTGGGGGACTGGGATTGAATGGGACTTCCCTCTTTTTTTCCTTATACTCATTGAGTACCAGTCAGGATGTTCCGGGTGAATTCGTCGTTTCCTCTTTGGTCGCGGGTGACACGAGGGTGACACGAGTCAAAGCGCAGTAAACTGCGTTTCTTAGGATCTGAGACGCGAATCGAAGCGATTTGACCTGGGCTATTTGACCTGGGATGATTTACATAGCTCTCTGGTTCTTACCGAGAATCTTTGGAGTATTTCTTCATACCTCAACTATGTCGTGCACTCTTCAGACACCACAATACGTCTAAAGGTCCAGAACAAACAACTCCTGCATATTGTGGAACATATTCTGCTCAATCTCGCCAAGTTTGTGGGCTGTCAACACCTGCCCATTCATGTACTGCCCACCCGCAGGCGATCATATTTCTCGACGGTGCTCACACCTTTGGGCTTTGGGATCTTTTGAAAAGTCAATCTTGCGAGATTGGTACGTGGGACAAATGCCCTGAGTGCGTCAGCCAACAATCATTATTTCACAACAACTACAGACCATGGGAGAGCTCCCAGGAAAGGATTCCTTGGAAGTTCTAAACAAAGGATTCACAACTTGACTAGACAAACAATGACACGAATTCACTCCCTAACCACTGACCCCCCCACCCATCAGTTTTTGATTGTTCCAACTCCTCAAGCGCTTTGGTTGGCTTGTAGGGCATGAAGGGTCCACCCTTCGCCTTGGATCAAACAGCCGGATCCGGTGTCCACGGTGCGAACCGGGACCAAGACACGTTGGAATCCTCGAGGCTCGAAACGAATTCGATCCCGTGAGGGTTGGCCAACAGGGTTGCGGAAGAATCATTTTGAGCCCACAAAGTCACAAAGATCACCTGCAAACTCACTTTGAGTCCACAAAACACTCAGATTGCTTGGTATTAGCATCAGCTCGTGCTCAGAACTTGGTCCTTTCCACCTTTCGACCTTTCTCCCGGCACAACTCTCCCCGTGGGAACATCACTTGAACGAGCAAAACAGCAAAAAACAACAGCATCCTCCTTCTTCCAACACGGAAAGCCACCTGCTACAAGTAACAAGAAGCTACTAGTAACTTGAGAGGAGGGAGACCTGAAAGGTAGGACAGCGGGAAGAGAAGAGAACGCGAGAGGCAGGAACAAAAATGCAATGTTCGACATGGTGATTTATCCCCTCGGAGGCGACCTTTCGTAAATATATGTTCATATGCACTCTAAATGTTCAAACATATGCTCTCGAAATGTTCAAAAAGATTCTTAGGAAAACATAGGAAAACAAACTTGCCCCATGGCTCAGATCATCGGTGAGCATTGAATCGGAACATCATAGGATTTGAACTATCCTGAAACCATAAGAGGCTCACGAAAGCGCTCCCCAGGAGAGAAATGACGTGCTTCACAAAACAAACTCTAGGTATGTATCCCCTCGGGGAACACCTTTCGTGATTAGAATTTCATATTCACTCTTTCTGAATGTTCAAGAGGGTTTCAACTATCCTGAAATCATGAGAGGCTCACGAAGACGTTCTCCAGGAGAGAATTGATTTTTTTTGGGGGGGTCTGTATTGAAAAATCAATTCCAAGGGGGCGGGGGGGGGGTCTGGATTGAAAAATCAATTCGAGGGGGGGTGGGGGCGTCTGAATTGAGCGATCAATTATTAGACCCGGACGTCCCAACACTTGCTTCGCAAGACAAACTGAAGGTATCCCCTAAAGGGCTACCTTTCGTGACAAGGACATCGCTACTAGTAACAAGGGCATTACTATTAGTAACAAGAAGCTACTAGGAGCAAGAGCTACTCTAGCCGCCAGCCACCTTCCCTGTACCTCTTTGGCTCGCCATGGCTGATTATTATCTTCTGCACTCCCATCTCCCAAGGCTCCATGGGTTTGCACTGGGAGAAGAACTTGCTCTTCTGCGCAGCGGAAAAGCCGGCTCCAGTGGTCGCGAAGTGAGGTGGGAACACACCGGTGGTGGGTCAGGAAAAATCCGCAGGCTTCCAGGGAGCTACCTGGTTGTTACTCTGGTTGTTATAATTCTTGTTTCATGGTTTGTTGTTGAACGTATCCCCCCCCAAAAATGGTTTCTCAGTTTTTCACTCTCACTTGGCTGGACTTGATGTCTTGAGTCGAGGGGCTTTTCGAGCTCGAATTCTTGAAATATGATGAAATATGTCCACACCGACACCTTAATTGCCATGACTCAGTGGCCACAATGACTTGGCTGCCCCTCCATTACTACTGTTGACTCTGCTGATTGGACTTGAGGGGGGAATGGTGGGCCCTGGTCACCACTTATTCCACAACAAATTGAATCAAGAAATCCTGAAGTTCAAAGCTGTGGCAAAACCAACACCGTTAAACTCAGCCCAGTCGATCCAGTTCATCTGGGTGCGGGGATATCAAAGCCCCTTCCCCCCGAAAAACATTCAGACTCAGTCACCAGTACCATCTCAACACATCTGACCGCTCAACCGGTGCTCGACGTCTCGTCGACGTCGTCGAGACAATCGCATGGGCCTCGGAGCAAATGAATCCAGCATGGCAACAGGTGGACCCCGTCCAATTGGTCTTGGTGTCCTCATCAAAGCCACCACACTGCCTCATCGGAAAGCGTTTCTTTGGAGAGCGGTGTTTGCAAATCGGTGAGAAGCAGGTGGCATAGCAGCAGGGTGACCCATGGTAACCAGTGGCAACCTGTGGAATTGACTGGGTACACTGGATTCTCAAAAAGGTCTTGAGAACTTTAAATTATGCGCTGCATGATTCATTGACCCCTACTTGACGTTAATGCATTTCTAACCTGTCTTGGAGGACTATTCTATCTCTTTGGGCATGGCTTTGAAATAGAGCACACTTCACTTCAACACACTCGGACACATCAACCAAGTTCAGCAACCCTCATGGATTGAGACACACCCATGTATAGGGTAATTAGACCCCACACCCTTCCACTAGCCCAGGTGCCCATAGCCAATTTGGCAGCCCTGTGGGTCCGCATTGGTCGTGGTCGTGGTGGTGCTGGGTTCGGACGCGGCGTCGGCCAACTCCTGCGTTGCTGACGTGAAGAGTAGCTGTTCAATGTATGGCCAATCTAGGGCGAGAGGTGAATCCATGGGTGAACCCATAGTTCTGCTAGAGGCACAGTAACACAATGTAACACATATCATATAAATTATCATCAACTATCACATATGACATTATACAACATATATGATATATTCAGAAGGGGAGGGTGACCACCAGTTTGCCAAATGCCACCCAATTCTAGACAGAAACTTGCCGGGGGCCAGTTAAATTGAAATCGTAGGACTTTGCCATGATGCGGGTCAACTTTTAGTGTACCTGCATGAGAATGAACGTGTCAAGTCTTTCGGTCTTTTCCGGGGCCCATGTTGCAGCCGACCAGCACGCGCAAATGTTTTGGCCCTTCAATGATAGTCTTTGTCAGGATCTCTCTGGATGCGGATGCGGAGACATCGAGAGGTGAGTCCAGAGTCCTCTGTTTGTGACATGTCTGAGTCCTCAACGTCCCAACATGCAAAAGGTGTCTTTGTTGCTTGACGCAAAACAAAGGCCCCTTTGCTGTGTCGCACGGACTAATGTCTTTCGATCAAAGCTCTTTCTTTTTGGGAAGGCTTCCCTGCGCGGGTTGTCCAGCAAAACTATCGAAATGACCACCAGTCCTCGGCCTTGTCTTTGGTGACGCACTGCGAGTAGTACTCGTTCACCTCAGGGGTCAAAAGCACAGCCTCTGGATTGGGTGGAATTGACTCCGACAATTTCTAGAAGACATTCCCAAACGAAGGGATTTCCATCAACCTTCGTGGCAAGTCTGAAGGTGGAAGATTATTTAGCAACCCAGTTCTAAGGATCTTTCTAGACAAAAGCTGTGCCGAGCCAACGCTGCCCTTCGCAACAGCCGTACGTAGGGACGGGTCTTGCGGGTCATGAAGTTGGGGGCAAAAGACCTCTTGCAGCGTCTTGCGGTTGGCATGTATAGAAAACCATGCGAATCGAACGTGCATGAATGTGCTATCACAGCATTCGGTCGCTTTCAGGCCCCTAGAAGCCCTGCATGCTCCTGCCGTGCCCCTGCCGCCCCTGCCCCTGCCGGGCCACCTGGTAGCAAAGGTGCCCATGCCAGCAGCAGGTGGGCCCATAGTACCACTGACCACCGCACTGCGCGTCCGGCTTGGAGCAGTTGGCATCCTGTGAGTTGTCCGAGAAAGTCAAGGCCCGGGGCTTCCGGGTTGAGTGGACGGGGTTCGGTCCGGTTTAGTGGTGAAATCCACGGGTGCCCTTAAGACACAGCCATCTCTTGTGCCTTAGGATGGCTTGGTATATCTATTGGTTCGAGATACCTTTCCTCCCCAAATGCTCACGGTTTCCTGTGAACACCACTCTCACCTCGTCTTGCTCTCAATGGGAACTGCACAAGTTCCGGTCTTCTGTGCCCAAGAATCAGCCAGTGCCATCCCAAACCCCAACAAGCAGCCTACTGAAAAAGTTTCCCGCCCCAACCAGTGCTTCTCCAGAATGCAACCAACACTTGAAATGCTTGATCTTTGGGCCCAATTCCCCAAAGAAATCACCCATTTTTTGGACAGATCGCTTCACCAAATCCCCTCCCGTCGTCTGAACCGGCGCCGCGGCCCAACCTCCGGCAGTGGCTCCCAGGCAGGAATTCCAGAGTCGCTGGCCTGTGAAAGAAAGGGAGATGACCCGGGCTGGGCACTGCGGGAGGATTATATAATCGGAAGCCTGATTCCAACAGCGAGTGGTAGTGGCACAGCCCATATGGCTGTGGGTCAGAGCCTACCTGGGAGGTCAAGCTACATGGTGGACCAGGGCTCCAGGTTTTGACCCACTTCCATATGAGAGTCCGATTTCTCCAAGTCTCTTCAACCCTTGCGTCGGAGTGCGAAAGGAAACTCCTCGTGCCGGCCGAGTGGGACTTGGATGTCTGCCGGTGTCTCAAATGATTGTGTAGGTGGATCCCCTCCAACAGTCACGGTTTACAGAGGTCAAGTGCAAAACAAACTGAATAGCTTAAATGTTTGAGGGCGGCATTCACATGGCGCCAGCGGTCGTTCAACTCACGGAACCCCGGAACGAGCACGACGCCTCATCTGGATTGGGACCATCCTCCTCCTCCTCATCCTCGTGATCATCGAGTCCGGCAGGCTTCCCGCCATCCTCCTCGTCCTCCTCGTCCTCGTCGTCGTCCTCCTCCTCCTCTTCGTCGTCGGGGTCCTGCTGAGCTGGCGCTTGGAGGAACCGCTGAGGTGCCGCGTCAAGGGCTTGGACTTGGCCAGGAAATGGCAGCGGCATCACGTTCTGCCCAGGGCTTCCGAGCAAAGCACAAAAAACAAGTAGTAGTAAGCAAGTGAGGAAGTAAGGAAGTAAGGAAGCAAGCATGCAAGCAAACGAAAATTCTTTCAAAAAAATTAGTATTCAGGGGGTTCAATACGAGCTGTGGTCTGCCTGCTAAACATGGGAGCTGAATTTCCATCGAGCTCCAAACTGAGCTTGCTCGCTACATGGATATCGGTATAGGATATATTTAGTTTCTTTCGTGGTAAGCATATTCCCCAACCAAGGGGTTTTGGTCTGGGAAGAGTTCTTTGGGGATATCTCCCTACTCTAATACACTGAATTACCCTCCATGGTCGAGGATGCCAACACCCCTCCAAAGCCACTGGTGTTGGTCTTACGGATCCATTGCATCCCTTTGGGTCGATCGTTCGTGGCTCATCGAAGGGTTGCCCCTCTCCTCGATGATGTCATCAATGTCTGGCACCACAGGTACGGCGGCGGCCGCTCCTGCAAGTCGTTATGGGCCATGGCAGCTCACATGTCTTGGGATTCACCGTGAAGGATCATTTTCTATCTGCACCATGGGCATATCTGGGCTCACTGCAACAAGAATGACGCACAAGAAACTCTTCCAAGCAAATACCAGTGGACTGAGAAAAGAAGCACTCCAACCATCAAGTGCAACCTCTCTCATCATTGGCCATCCACCCAAACCAGTCATCGTGCCTCGGAGCTGTAGCGCGTTCAAAGTGCAACTCTCGTCCAAGCACTCGTCATCCAGCTGGAGCGAGGCCTCCTGGGAGCACAACGATAGTTCATCCATCCCGCTGGAGATGTGGCGCCCCTCTGTCGAGCAAACATGACGCCGATCGCCTTCACGTGCTAAAACGCAGGCTGTTCTGACTGACCTCAAGTAAGCCTCTTCGTCCTCTCCCACTTCCTAGAGCCCGAACCTCTGCAAAGGAGTAGGGCATGATGGCCAAAAGGAGAAAGCGCCATAAGGACCTCAACCACGTGGTGACCGGTGTCATCCGGTGTCCCAGAGAGGGGGACCTCTCTTTGGAGGGGAATCGATGGGTTAAACTATCTGCGATGCCCACCAGCCTACTGAGCAGCTTCGAAAACCCCTATTACTTTTTTGTATAATCCAGGTTTGCTTTCGCAAAGCTTTCGCGGCCTGCATTCTGGCTTTCGCGGAAGGTGTGGTGTGATGTGGGGCTTTCGCGCCGGCTTTCTCGGCGATTCGTTTTCGATTGGGAAATTCGATTGGGATATTGTACAATAAAGTGATTGATCTACATAAGTTATCCGATATAAGTGTCCTTAGGGTGGTCAAAACTGAAAGCTTTCGCGACGCTGTTCTTCTGGGGTTCTTTCGCGGGGCTTTCGCGAACCTTTCGCGACCTGCGTTTTGACTTTCGCGAAAGAATGTGAGATTACAGTTTGCACACTTTTCATCGTAGAGGTTTTTGAAACTGCTCTACTGAGCATACACGACTTTAGGCCCAAAAAAAGTTGACACATCAAATCCGAAAAAGGATGGTCCACCATCAAAAACAATCATCGAGTCCCACCGAACCTGGCGATGTTCGTGTACGCTGCTTACAGAGTACTTTCAGAGAAAGAGATGGATCGACAGAAATCCGAGGTCACATGAATCAACCACACGACAGGGGTCGATGTCAGCAGCCCTTCCAGGCAGTTCTCAAAACCTTCCACATCGGTGGCAAAGTCGGTGTCCAAAATGGCCTTTTGCAGCTTTTTGGCTTTAGGATGCTCAGCAATCCATTCCCCTCAGATTCATAGAGATTATGATGAGCTGGTACGGGCAAACAAGGATCCACAGCTCAGTGGACAAAGGGGCCAAGACCCGCACATCAACTCCTTTGTTCTGTGTGAATTTGTGCTATCGACCACGACCAAAAGGTCATGCGCAGAAAATACCAACAATAACCTGTCATTGATTCCGAGCGGCGCCATGAGTAATCGCTCTTTTTCTTTGGGCAAAAGGAATGAAGGCAAGCCTGAAGCTTTTGGCTGCGGTTCATTCATAACCTGAGCACCATGGGCACAAGCAATTGGGCTGCTAGAACTGGTCATCATGACGAGTTCAGAAACACAGTTACAGTCACTAAGACCATAGTGTGACATGTGATTCTCACTCAACCTACCTTGCCTTATGCAGGTCCTGCAAACAATTACATAAGCCCCCAACATCTGGATATTTTTGAGTGCGTAACTTTTACCGGGCCCAACCAGGCAGTTTGAAGATGATCGCACATCGAAAGGCCCTACCTGTTTGCAACACATTATGTTCTAATTTTTTGGTACTAAACCTAATAGCTTCTTGCTACTAGTAACTAGTAGCTTCTTGTTCCTAGTAGAAAGGCCAGGAGCCCCTAGTAGCGTCCTTGCTCCTAGTAGCGATGCCAGGAGCCCCTAGTAGCTTCTTGTTCCCCTGTCACATCGGACCCGAGTTTTCTGCAGGTTTTTCTCCACCATGACATGTGGCTTCAGCGTCTCAGCTGGTCGTGGCGCGGAGTCCGGGAACTGTCTTCGACAAGCTCGGAAAAACCAGCTGCTCGGTGAGGATTAGCTTCAGGGAAGAAACCCTGAGCCTACGAAACCATTCTTGACATCAACGAGATCTGCTTTGAGGGGCTTTAAGGCGATTCTTGGAAGGACCTGTTGTTCTTGGATTGCCATGAAAGTGGAAGTATGTTCACCTGTTGGTTCTTGTGAAAGGCACAAGGGGATGTCTGTGATAAACGTCCTGTCCTTTCATGCCACATCCATCGATCGCTCATCGCTTTACCTGCGCCCACGTGTCACCCCCAACACACCACCGTCAGACTGGATGGGTCTGGTGCGTGGGGAGCTACCACCTCCTTGGTGAGTCACTGAGGGTTGTGCAGTCGAAGCGCTTAGACCCTCCGGATGTGTGTCGAGTCGTCGCTTTGCTGCTCCGAAGGGGTGGCATTCGCCATGCCATGGGGACATGATTGGGTGTGGTGTGGTGGCAAAGGGAACAAATAGACCTTCAGCCAACCCAAATCCGGTCCAGAATTTTGTAATAGCGACAGGCGACAGGCCCTGGCTTGGCATTCTATGAGTCCACAGTGAGCTTCTCTCCTTCCCATCTGTGCCCCACCGGGTGATGTGTCTGGCAGTCAGTGACATGACATGCCATTCATCTATACGTGGAACATGGTCGCTTTGTAGAGAAAACGGGACTTGAACAGGTCGCTTTTCCACGTCGATCTTCATGACCATGATTCGTTTTGGCATTGGTTCTCTGCTTATCCACACCCTTGGTTCGTTCAGCCACAAGATCCTGTGGTTCCTTCAAAGAACTAGCACACAACACCTTTGGACCATCTTAGCCACCCAGGCCACCAGGCCGAGAAGATTTAAAGGACTTGGTCCTTGCACCGCCCTTGCTGCCATCACCCATGCAGCACCAATCGCACTAAGAGCAAGAAGCTACTAGGGGCTCCTGGCCTTACTACTAGGAGCAAGGAGCTTCTAGGAGCCCCTAGTAGCTTCTTGCTCCTAGTAGTAAGGCCAGGAGCCCCTACATGAAGGCCATGGCGGTCTTCTGCTCTCGCCTGCACCACTGAGAGATCTCGACAGATCGTCGACATGAACTGCTTCAGGTTCCATTAGAAGAAGGCAGTGTGGCTCAGATGCAACATCGCCTAAGCCCCTAGCGGCCTAGCGGCCTTCGCATGGACCAACATCTTGAACCCAAACACCACACTCCAGTTTAAGATCTTCCATGGAGCCTGGGGAAAGTCGTGCTTGATGAGCCTGCGCCACTGAAAACCAGTTCCTTTCCATACTTCCTAAGCCCAAACTTGGGCGTCTTCTGCACACTGAGGGAGCTCCAGTGATCAGTACACTACTCACACTGAATATGAATCAGCAGAAGATGATTTGATCACCTTTAGGCTCCATAGAACCCAATGAATCTCAAAGCTTGCAGTCACCAACTCCACTTCTAAGAGAACCCCAACAAAACATATCCAATGGCCTTGGAGGAGCAACTCCCTTCTGAGCACCACTTGGCCTCTAGGGCTCGATTTCACGTCGGATGCCCCGCCTGCGGTCCACATGGACCACCTCGGCTCGGAACGGCCATTTGTTGTTCGCAAACCAGTCTAAAGGATTGTGGACATTTCACTGGTGCCGATTTGTTTAATCATGTTTGATCCTATTTATTGTATCTTTCTCAAATATCGGATCATGTTTCCTCGTTTCATCATGAATCTGTTTTCAGCTCTGGTGGATCAGCTCTTGCGGTCTTCCGCACAGGGAACCTAAACAGCACAGAAATTGATACAACTGGCGAAACATGTTTTAAGCGGATGGTCTCTGGAACAAGACAAAACTCTAACGACCCGCGACTCGATCGTTTTCTTGGGGCATCAACTCTCTGGGATTCTCAACAGACCCCCCTCCCAACCTGGGTGGCGGGTGTCTTTTTGTTCGCGCTCAGTCGCCCGCCAATCGCTGCGGGTTCTTGCCAATCTCCGCCAGGAAGTGCTGGAGCCTCGGGACTCCGTTCAGGACCGACCGAGGACGGCGTCTGGGTGGACGTGCTGGTCGGCTCCCCCACGAGGTCTCGCCACCGGTGGGGTGGGGTGGTTCTACACATTGAGTCTCTGTAGCGAATCTCGTGACATCTCATGACATCTGGTGAGTCTATGCACCCAACCCCCCCCCACGAGGAAAAAGGGATCGACAGGAAACCGCCTGCGCGTCTGCAGCTCGTCCGCCGGGTACACCACCCGGGGCACCTGGAAATTCATCGATGCGTGTGAACAACAGCGAATCGATGTGCGCCGAGCCGCTTAGTGTGAAGCTGTTGGAAACCGAAAGAAAACAAACAAACTGGATTGGAATGGAATGGAAACACCACCGGGGAAACCCTGGTACTTGGACCAACTGCACTTAGACCAACTGGAATGGTTTCGATCTACCGAGCTCGCCGGATCAGATGTCTGAGTTCCATGCGGTCCTACAAACGCAGGTCAGCAGCTCCATATCCATGCTGGATATCATGGAGAATCATAGAGACCATCGTGATACCTAGAGGTCACCAGCACGTTCAAATGTGTCAAATGTCCAGCATGATGTCCACGGGAAAACGAAACACCATGAAACACCCGCCCTTCACGGGAAACGAAACACCATTGGGAAGACGCTTGGACCCCGCCGGTGATCACCGGAGGTGGCACCTCCACCTTTGCGGCAATGTGCCCCGGCGTGTCCAGGCCTCAGTGGAGGTGGCTGATCCAGGTCCTCAACAGGTGACCACACTCCCCAAGCACCTCAAGCACTGGTGGGAGACCTGTTGGAGGATGCTGGTGTTGAAGATATTCAACTTGGCAGCTGCAAACTACTTGGGCAAGCTGGGCAACAACATGAGGGAGCATCTGCAGAACAAGTTGGGCAACTATCAAACTACCTCAGATCAATCATCTAGGCCTAGGTCAAATGCAAACCTTTGTTAAATCATAGTGTCATAGCAGTACTGGGAGCAAAGATCAGTTTTGAAGGGAAGTGCATCCTGTTCCCAAGCTGAGATGAACACTGTGGCACCTGAGGTTTTTCTGGGTCACCTTTTCGATCGGACACGGACACTGGCATCGGTCACCGTACGTTGGGACGAACACCTCCGAACGGTTGCGCCGGGACGATTGAGAACTTCTAAGTTTGGAATTTCATCTCTGCATCTGGTGGGGTTCTAGGCGAAGGCATAAGACAAAATGTAATCGTTTGGTTTCACAGGAAAATGATGGATCTGATTTGGTTGAAAACAAGCTTCACTTTGGGGATGTTGGGATGGCCAAGTGAGCCAAGCTGATCGGCTACTTCTAAGAATATTGCTCTAAAAAAATCATTTATATAGCTAGAAAACCCAAAACAAGGATGATGGCCTTCAATCTCAGCAGTTGGATTGCATCCACTGGGTCTTCCTGCCACTCCTCGTTGTGGTTGGGTGAGAAGCCTGGCATGACAGGGAACAGCTTTGGCATGGTGGCTTGGTGTCTTGTGAACACGCTCCTAATCTGGAGATGCAAATCCCGGATCCCTTCCACATACAAGGCAGCACCAGAAACAGATTCCGAAACCAAATTGATCAAGGAGTCACCCATGAGTCACCAATGTTCCAGCAAAAACCTCTTAGCTGGACCAAGTAGCACCATCTGTAGCAACACACCGACTTCGGGCGACTTTGCCGATGTGTGCAGGAACCGACCTCCCCAGACCCGACAGTTGAGTCGGGCCCACGGCGTGGTGCTCGGTCAGAAGCAAAATGGCGACACTTGGCGGATCCAATCCGACATCAATCCACCAGCAGTCACAAGACGGGGTGCTATCCATGGAGGATAGAGGTAAACACCACCCCTTTGTGACTGCTGGCAGTCAAATCTCCTGAAGATGTCATCTTTCTTTCATTTGCAGCAAGTGTTGAAGTGATGTGCCAGACCTAAGACCAGCCTTGATGTGTTTGTCCGAAGACTTACTGGGATATGTCACCCACAAACCCTACAACCCCACATGGTGGGGACTCCCAGGCAAACACCCAAGCAGCTGACAGCACCAGCACATCTTCCAGATCGAGCAAACCGGGTCGTTTCCGGAACAGCCCTGAAGCAGCCGGCGCTATCGGCCGTCCTCTTGGCCCCAGGCCGTCCTCTTGGCCCTGATACCACTCAAGGCCTGGGAGGTCTCAGCAAAGCCTTGTTCTTCTCGAATTCGTCACAAAAACCCTGTGAAGGATCCTCCTGCAGCTCATTGCAGCTTTTGTTTAAGGTATAGCGAGCGGTCAAAAACAATCATAACAAATCGGTAGATGAAAAGGATGAAAACGATGCGACGGCTTCGCATCACTGAGTAACATGTATAGCTTGAAGAACAACTCCTCGCTGGCACGAGCACGAGCCATTTCATATATAACGTCAAAGCAAAAGGTCTGCAGCTCAATAAATGCTCCCAACACATCAGCACCAACCTTAATACCGATTCATGA